GAGCAGCAGCCGAAGCAGCAGCAGCAGCAGCCACTCGGTCAGAAGCAGCCGCTACTGTAGCCGCACCGGCGTTTATGCCGATCGTGACGACAGCGACGATCAAACCGACCATGCCGCCCCCGTTTAACCCCACAGATAAAAATACTACAGTTACGGGCTGGTTCTTTCCGGCGGAACTTTATTTCAATGCCGCTGGGATCACAGCTGATGATTTAAAAATTTGGCTGGCTGTATCACTACTGCGGAGACCTGCGCTAGATTGGTGGCGATATACACTACAGGAGGGGGAGTTTTCGGCAGGCGACACACAGGGTTTTTTCGGAAACTTTGGGTCTGCTGCCCAAGGGTCAACCGCAATTTTTGGATCGACCAAGATTCGCACGTAGAAGGCGTGGGGTACAGCTTTGCGTGAACGGTTCGAGCCAATATCCGCCTCGGACAACGCATGCACGAAGCTGGACAACTGCCCCTAGTGGAGTTCTGTCCAGGATTACGCGTCGGTCTTCAAGGCGTTATGCGATCAAATCACCGACATGCATGACTTCGAGAAGAAAGCTCGATTCATTTCGGGTCTGAAGCAGGACATTAAATGTGAGGTCCGACTGCGACTTCCGGCGACGTTTCACGAAGCAGTCCGGATCGCAGATAATTTCTATGCACATCGGACGTATGCGAGAGCGGGTTCCCGGGAGGGAAATCGTTTTCGTGGCCAGAATCCACGGCCCACGATTCACGGCGTAGTGGCGAGGGAGCACATGGAAGATTTTCGCAAGGGACAATGTTTCAACTGCCACCAGCCGGGTCACCAGTCTCACGATTGCCCCCGAAAGAAGCAGATAAAGAAGAACGACGAAGACAGGTCGGGAAACGCCAAGTGTCAGTAGCGGTCGGGCCCCCTACTGACCCTGTCTCATCGCCCGAAAAAACACCATCCCCACCGAGTAGTGGTTCCGATACATGCTATCAACCGCTCCCGGCTGAATAAGGGGGATGACCCAGTGGACCACCCTGTACTGGCGAAAGGACGACTCAACGTAAGAAAAATAAAAATATTCATCGATGGAGGTGCTAGTCACAGCCTGATAAATCGAGAGACGGCATGACGACTACACCTGACGCCGGAGAGGTGTCTGCCCAAAATCGACGCACGATTGGTGGATGGCACCCCCCTGGCAATACGCGACAAAGTGCCCGTCATTCGAATGAAGTGTGGCGAAGATTTTGGTTTCAGTTCGCCGATGCTGGCGACATCGCTCGACGGCTACGACGTGCTATTGGGACGCGATTGGCTGCGACGATTCAACCCGCAGATCGATTGGACCACAAGCGAGTGCACAGTGAAGTGCGACAAAGGCTGGCGAAAATTACCCACGTGGCCGGAAGCAGCGACAACGTCGACACGAATCAACGCAGTGTGCCTCAAGCGAGCGGTCAAGAATGGAGCGGATTTATACGCCGTCCATCTAACCGAATCGACGGAGCAGAACGAGGTGACCGACATCAACAAACTCTGCGCTTCGGTCCTGGATGACTTGGCGAAAATCATTCGGGAATATCCCGAGATTTTCCCAGACGACTTGCCACGTGGACTGCCACCCGAACGACCCCAGGACCACAAGATCGAGTTGGAGCCCGGCGCGCAGCCTACTGTGCGCATGCAATGGCGCCTGACTCAGCCGGAGCTACAGGAATTACGGAACAAGTTGGACTACCTGCTGGCAAAAGGGTTCATTCGGCCAAGCACGTCACCGTTCGCAGCACCGATCCTGTTCACCCCAAAAAAGGACGGCAGAATTCGCATGTGTACGGACTATCGTGCCCTTAATCGGGTAACGATAAAATCGCGCTACCCAATCCCACGCACGGACGAACTGATCGACAACCTTCGCGGAGCTCGCTATTTTTCGAAGATCGACCTTCGCGACAGTTACCATCAACTTCGGGTGTTCGCCGACGACTGCCACAAGACCGCGTTTCGTACTCGATACGGGAGTTACGAATACACGGTGATGCCGTTTGGATTAACGAACGCCCCCTCGACGTTCCAACTCACCATGAATGGGGTGTTTCGCGATCTACTCGACAAATGCGTGATAATTTACCTGGACGACATCCTGATCTAAAGCAAGACCCGCGAGCAACAATTAAAGGATTTGGAAGTGGTTTTTCAGCGGTTGCAGCAGCATCGTCTCATTACCAAAGGCTCCAAGTGCGAGTTTTTAAAACAAAAACTGGAGTTCCTGGGGCACGTGATTTCCACGGAGGGGATTCGGATATACCCGAAAAAACTCTGGGCTATTCGGAATGGAAACCACTAACAAACCTGCAGCAGCTGCAATCCTTTCCAGGTTTCGTGAATTACGTGCGGCGGTTTATACCCAACATGGCGGGGTTAATTTGACCTCTAACCGACCTACTGCAGAAGGGGACCTTTTACGAGTGGGGGGAGAAACAGCAAGCTACGTTCGAGGCATTAAAAAATCTTTTAATGTCACCACCGGTACTTCGCATCGCTGACCCGGAACGACCCTTCGAAGTCATCACCGACGCAAGTGACATCGCCATCGGAGCAGTGCTCATGCAAGATTTCGGCAATGGGCTTCAACCAATTGCGTACGAGTCTCGGAAAATGCAATCAGTTGAGCGCAACTACCCGGTACATGATAAGGAGATGTTGGCGATCGTCCACACGTTCAAAATCTGGAGGTGCTACCTGACTGGAGCAGACGTGATGGTGCGAACCGATCACAAATCACTACAGTACCTGAGAGCGCAGCCGAATCTCAACCCGCGGTAGATACGCTGCTTGGACTATCTGGAGTCCAATTTCACATACAAGATTACGTATAAAAAAGGCGCCAACAATATTGCCGATGCCCTTTCCAGACCATCTGCCCAACTCGCCGCAGTACTAGTCGCCCAGAGCAATCCGCTACTGAGTGGACTATTTACCCACGGGTATTCGACTGACCCCTTCTTCGTAAATGACGGCCATCTCCCAGTCACTACACGGAAAGGCGTCTATTACTTACGAAGCGGAACATATCGAATTTGGGTCCCAAGTTATCGTCTACTTCGCGAATTTTAATTCAAGAAGTCCACGATTCGAATTTATCGGGACATTTCGGGGTTGATAAAACTCTGAAGGCGTTGTAGCGGTTTTACTACTGGCCAGATATGGTGACGGATGTACAGCGTTACGCGGCTGCGTGTCCGATCTGCCAGCGAATGAAGTCTTCCCACCAGCGACCTACAGGACTGTGCAGCCCCTCGAGCCACCTCAACGCCCATGGCAACACGTAACGATGGATTTCGTTACGGGACTACCGGTCGGACCCAGCGGAAACGACGCAGTCTTGGTTGTCGTCGACCGATTGACAAAAATGGTGCATTTAGCACCATGTCGTACAACCATCACAGCCGAAGAAACCGCGAGTCTGTTCATCTCGACCGTTGTTCGCTTACACGGGATACCAGCAGCAATCATTAGCGATCGAGATCCGAAGTTCACGTCAAAATTCTGGCAGAACACGAAGGCTCGGTACGGCACGCGTCTACAGTTCTCATCCGCTTATCATCCCCAAACGGACGGCCAGACTGAAAGGACGAATCAAACGATGAAGCAGCTGATTCGGACAAACTGCCCCGACCGAACAAAATGGAAGGACGTGCTGCCTATGTTGGAATTTTCCTATAATAACGCGCCCTCGGCTACGATTAATCACTCCCCGTTTTATCTCAATTACGGTATGGACCCTACAGTACCAGTCTCCACCAACGTTGAGAGTCAAGTACCACGATCGCAACAGTTCGTCGAAGAATTACAGACTGCCCGAGACAAAGCTGTCGAACTTATTCGCAAGGCGAATGCAACTGCCCGATGGTATGCGGATTAACATCGCAGGGATATTACAATGGCAGCAGGGTAACTAGTCCTGTTGGACACCAAGAATTTACGATTGCCACTACCGACAAAACTACGACCACGTTTCTGTGGCCCATTCAAGATCATGAAGATGGTGACGCCTATGACCGCCCAGTTGCGCCTACCTGATGACTAGCGTATTCACAACAAGTTCCACGTGAGCCTGTTGCGACCTTTCGTACCCGACACATCGGACATCGCCCGACAGCAATTGGTCCCAGATGTACGGCCACCAGCCGAGACGACCATCGAGCCTTCGAAGATTTTGAGCCATCGGATTCGTATTGACGGCCAAGGACGACACGTTGATTTTCTGATACGATGGACCAATCGTACCAGTGAGGACGACACGTGGGTGCCCTCGGACCAGATACAGTCACCTTCGATACTTGCGAATTATTTGGCCCGCAAGCACGTGGCTGATATAGAGCACCTTCGCTAAGGGGGGGGGGGGGGTGGTGTAAGGAATTGTCTATTCCTTACTGAGCGGTACTGCAATTGCATACGCTCGAACATACCCACAGCCTCGGGATGGTTCCGTACCTTTCTGACAGCATCACCTCGGCTCCTCCAGACCTTCCGGTTTGACCTTCGGGAGTTCTCCGGGCCTCGCTTCGTCACTTCGAGACCCTTCGATCTCTTTCCCGAACCTTACCATCGCATGGTTAGACTAGCTCTGGTGTTCCTATATCTTGGCTTGCCATTCCTTGTATCGTCATTCAGTGAGTGAACATTTCGTTATTCATTTTCGCGCTACTGTGCTTGTTCATTCATAACAATAACAATGCTCTTCTGCATGTCGTTATGATGTTACATGACCTTCGAAAATACCTGATCTGAACCTGTAGCATTCCACAACACTGACACCATGAGTAGCCCTGATTCCTTCCGCAGGGACACATCTTTGCGCCCTATGGAAACAAACTGACTGACGAACTGAGGACGGGAATGATGACGGAGACGGGTACGGACGGAACAGATGCAAGGGCGAGCAAATGTTGTGGAGATGGTGAGGTGTTTTCTGTGCAAGGAGTCAGGGGGAGTTCCCTAGAGAATTTCAGCATCAGTCCATGCTCATGCCGTCATCTTGATGCAGCCATGGAATCTGCCGTAAGGTTATCGGAGCCCGTGGTCATTGTTCGCGAGCTTCGAATCCCTGAAATAGGGAGTACGGCTATGTATATGACTCGTCGGGCTATGCTTTGAGTCTTGGCTAGAACAAACAGAACGTTCGCCTGACGTGTTCATTCGGTTGTGATTTGCTCTTTGCTAGATCTCCAGGTATCGCCTGTGCAGCATAGTTGTCGTCCACTCGCTGGCGTTATAGTAGTTCCAAATCTCTTCAACTGAGCCGATTTTCCGTCTTCGCCAGTCGCCTTAGGTTTCGATCTGGTTACCAGCATATGTCGCTTGCTGCTTCGCAAGCAGCCAACGGGTGCGACAAAATTCGCCGATGCGACTCCTGACGGTGCCATCCACGCACAGCAGGTCGAGGGAAGGCAAAGGTGCGCCGTCAGATTGCGGATCTGAGGCACACGCACCGTCGATCGACTCCCACTTCCACGCATGCGCACTGGAAGTCGCCAAAACAGTTCTTTTTCGTCCTGGTAGCTAGTCTTAGCTCTTCCATAAGCCAGCCCATTCAAGAGTTTTCATTCTGCGTTAGTTTGCTAACCTCCTCTGCCCCCCTAATTTCTTGAGGGTTGAGCCGCCGTCACAACTACCAACCGGTCGCAATTGTTACTGTAACGGCGTCTGTAACTGTAACAGAAACGCTAACTGTAGTTGAGTCTGAATAGAACTCCAACGATTCAACCCGCCTGAGCTTTCACCCATCCTCGTTATTGTCACAATGGGGGCGGCGGAGTCTGTGCCGGTGTTGGGCGGGCACGAGGATCTTCTAGATCGGTTTGTGGGCCCCACATCCATCCCTGCGAACGACCCGTTCTGGGAGAGGCTGCTGTCGTTCGCGTACCCGCTGCCCAAGATGAAACCCGCGGACTTCGACGAGGCGACGAGAGAAGCCTGCACCACGCTAGGTGTGCTGGTGTCAGTGTCAGTGTCAGTAGACATTTTAACTTCCTGGTGCACTCTTACGTGTTTGCTTTCTACGTAGATTGCTCGTGAACGGCCGTTTGTCAACTTCTGTGGTTTCGCTGAACAGCTCCCCACCTTCCCCTTCCCCCTCCCCCCCCGCTCCGTCCCGCTTCCCCCTTCCCCCCTCCTTTCCCACCCGTTCCCCCTCAACTCCCCAGCGCTGAACATCCGTCAGACGTACCTCTTTGGCAAGCTGCTGCTGCACATGACGCGCAGCCGCCAACGCCCTCTTCTCTCCCGTACCATTTTCGTCGTCCCCTTCCCACTTCCCGCGTCCCCCCGTTCCCCCCCATTCCACCCCCACCTCCCCCCAGCGCTGAACAACCGGCAGACGTACCACTTCGGCAAGCTGCTGCTGCACATGATGCGCAGCCTGCAGCAGGTGCCCGCGAGCCCCGCGGAGATGCCCCTGACGGCGATCAACACGGTGTACTTCACACGGCTGTTCGTGAAGCACCTGGTGGAGTACTACGACAGCCGCGAGATCTGGGAGCATCTCATCATCCACCTATCGCCCGAGGAGGCGGGCGCGTTCGGCAGGGAGGCAGGTACGGCGGAGGGGGGAAGGGGGGTGGAGGAATGAGGGGAGAGGGGGAAGAGGGGGGAAGAAATGGGCTGGAGGGATGATGGCAGAGGGGGGGGGAGTGGGGGTTGGAAGGATGAGGGGAGAGGGGAAGGGAGGGGAGGAGGGATGGGGGTTGTGGGTTGAAGAGGGTTGAGGGAACGGGGGTTTGTGGGTCGTGTGTCGGCCATCAACACGGTGTACTTCACGCGGCTGTTCGTGAAGCACCTGGTTGGAGTACTACGACAGCCGCGAGATCTGGGAGCATCTCATCATCCACCAGTCGCCCGAGGAGGCGGGCGCGTTCGGCAGGGATGCAGTTACGGAGGGAGGGGGGAGGGGCGGTGGGAAAGGGAGGGGAGGAGAGGGGAAGGGACGAGAGGGTTGGATGGATGCTTGTTGGGAAAGGATGGTGTTGGGAGAGGGGGAAAGAAGATGTGAGGGAAAGGAGATGTGAGGGGAAGGAGGTGTGAGGGGAAGGAGATGTGAGGGGAAGGAGAAGTGAGGGGAAGGAGAAGTGAGGGGAAGGAGATGTGAGGGGAAGGAGATGTGAGGGGAAGGAGATGGGCATGGGGATTGGCTAGGAGAGAGGCAGGGAGGAGGAGAGTAGGTGAAGATCAATGTGAATGTTGGAGGGAGGAGGACAAGGTACAGTGGCGGGATACTGGGGAGAATGTGCGAGAAGGAGATCGAGAGGAGCTGTGTTAGGCTTAGGTGGGGGACAAGACATCGCAGGGGTGGTTCTGTCAGGCTCTTATTCTGCCTCTTTGCTTCTGTGCTTGTGCTATTGTGTGCCTGAGGGGGGTTTGGGGGTCTGTGTGATGCAAGCTAGGTCAGAGGGTGTGTTTGCGTGTGTGGGTTGGGTGGGGGGAGGGGGGTGGGGAGATGGCTTTGGATGTTTTTGTGTTGCCCCTGGAGGGTGGGAAGTGTTTTTGTGTGTGCGTGTCGGGGTGTGTGTGGGTGCGTGAATGTGTGTGTGTGTGTGTGTGTGTGTACGTGTGTGTGTGTGTGCGTGTGTGTGTGTGTGTGTGCATGTGTGTGTGGGTGTACGTGTGTGTGTGTGTGTGCGTGTGTGTGCGTGTGTGCGTGCATGTGTGTGTGTGTGCGCACGTGCGCGTGTGTGTGTGTGTGTACGCGCGTGTGGTGTGTGTGTGTGTATGCGCGAGCGCGTGTGTGTGTGTGTGTGTGCAGGGCGGCATGATCTACTAGTGGATACCGTAAGGTCACTCCTATCGTTCGTTGCACACCATGATGTCAGGTCAGCTGCCAACCCTCCAGTTGTCCTGCGTTATTTATCCACTTCTAAATTCTGCCCTTGGTTCCCAGCTACCCAGCTACCCCTACTCTTCTGTGGCCGCCCTCCTTTGCCCCCTCTCCCCCTCGCACGCATCCTTCACCTCTCACGCCCCCCCAACCGTCTCCTCCCCTTCCCCCTCTCTCCCTCCCCCGTTCTTCCGCCGTCCCCTGTCATCAGCGCCACCAAGTACCTGCTGCATCTGGAGGACTTGAATCTGCTCATCGTCATGATGTCCACGCAGCCTCCTTCTGCTCCCTGCCTTATGCCCCTGCCTTCTGCCTTTCCTCCCCTTACCCCCCCACCCCCCGCCCCCTCCCTTCCCCCCCATCAGCGCCACCAAGTACCTGCTGCATCTGGAGGCCGTGAATCTGCTCATCGTCATGATGTCCACGCAGCTGCACGCCTCGCCCGCGGTCGCCTTCAACACGGACGCGCATCTCTTTGTAGAGGCCGCTATGAACCAGGTAAATCGAGGGATGGGGGATAGGGGATAGGGGATAGGCTGATAGGTGATAGGCTGATAGGTGTGCTGTGAGGGCGAACCAATGCAGTTTTTTGGTGGTTTTTGGAGGGATTTTTCTAGTCTTGACGTGCCCCAAAATTCCTCGCATCCCCTCGCCGTTGCCTTCGACACGGACGCTCGCCTCTCCTCTTTGTGGAGGCGGCAATGAACCAGGCAGGTGCAGATTAGGGTTAGGGGAGGATACTTTGATGGTTGTTGAGGGCCGTTGACCTTCCGTGTTGAGGGAGGGAGGAGGTTGAATTTCCCCCTTCCAAACTTGCCTCTCCCGTTCCTCGCCCCCCCTCACCCATTCTCCAACCCCTCTCTCACGCGTTCTATTCCTACGCTCCCTCCCTCCCTCCCTCCCTCCCTCCCTCCCTCCCTCCCTCCCTCCCTCCCTCCCTCCCTCCCTCCCTCCCTCCCTCCCTCCCTCCCTCCCTCCCTCCCTCCCTCCCTCCCTCCCTCCCTCCCTCCCTCTCTCCCTTCCCTCCCTCCCTCCCTCCCTCCCTTCCCTCCCTCCCTCCCTTCCCTCCCTCCCTCCCTTCCCTCCCTCCCTCCCTTCCCTCCCTCCCTCCCTCCCTCCCTCCCTCCCTCCATCCCTCCCTCCCTCTCTCCCTCCCTCCCTCCCTCCCTCGCTCCCTCCCTCCCACCCCACCCCACCAGCACGACCTGGCAGTGCCGTTTGTGGCGCGCCTGCTGCACATGTTTGTGGCGCGCATGCCGGTGCCGCCCCGCGTGCCCTTCTACGTCGCGTCCCTCTCCACGCGCCAAGGCGTCCTGCGCCGCGTGGGCTCCGCTGCTGTAGCCGTCTTCCTCCTCCCTTACTACACCTACTCGTTCCTCGTTAGCTCTTCCTCCTCCTCTGCTGTGGCCAAGAGCCCGCTGGCGGATAACGCGCTGCTGCTGCTGCTGGCGCTGACGCACTATGGGCCGTCAGTGGGGAGTCGGGAGGCGTGGGAGGAAATGCAGAAGGAAGGAGGGGAGAAGCAGGGGCAGGGGCAGGAGGGGGCGCAGGAGGAGGGATTGAGGCAGGGGCAGGAGCAAGGGGAAGGCGGGCAGGGGCAATTGGGCAATGGGGGGAGTGGTGGGAAGGATGCAGTGGAGGTTCAGGTGCAAGGGTTGGCAGGCGATGCGAAGGCGTTAGAGCAACGACTGCAGGATGGGTTGAACCTGCAAGAGGCACGGATGGATGGGAAAGGCGGGCAAGGGACGCCGCAGCAACAGCAGCAGCAGCAGCAGCAGGAGCAGGAGCAGCAGCAACAAGAGCAGCAGCAACAAGTGAGGAGACCGCGGTGGAATCCGTACAAGTGGGCAATCAACAGCGCTCGCGACGTGGACTGTAAGTGGGCAGTGGCAGTGTTTCGTGTCCTGTTAACTGCGCTTCTGTAGAGGACAGAGCCTCAGTGTACAGAAGAACAGACGAGAGTGCAAGCAAGCAAGCAAGCAAACATGCTAGACAGATACAGAAGTGTAGGGTTTGCGCTTCCTCTCTCTCTAGAGAGCTGATGCTCAGCTGCCTCATGTCCTGCTCACGTTGCTTGCAACATCACTTGCCTAACATCCCCGCCTGTGCTCTGCTGCACACCATCCTCTCCTGTGAGCCTCCCCCGCACCGTCATCCCCTCCTGTGAGCCTCCCCCGCACCGTCATCCCCTCCTGTGAGCCTCCCCCACACCGTCATCCCCTTCCTTCATTGTGGCAATGGAGCCCATTCTGAGTGCAGCAGAGACAGAAACATGAGGTGACTTTTGAGTCGACTCAAACATCATCCCCTCCTGTGCTCTGCACACCAACCCCGCCTGTGTGTTTCCCACTCCTCCCCCGTTCTCGCTCCCACTGTGGCAGTGGAGCCCATCTTGAGTGCAGCAGAGACAGAAACATCCGCAGCCGTGTATGGCTCCCTGGCACCCGCCACTGCCGCCACTCCCACAGCCACTAGCACTAGAACAGGCACAAGCACAGGCACAAGCACAGGCACTGGAACGCTCACAGGCACGAGAGCAGACGCACAGGGAACCGATGCGGAGCTAGCACAGGAGCAGCAGCAGCCTCTGCTGGCGCAGGGGCAAGCGCAGGGGCAGGCAGGGCAGGCAGGGCAAGAGCAGCAGGAGCAGGGGGGTGGGGAAGTGCAGGGAGTGGTGGGTCCGGGGGCAGGCAGTGAGCCAGTCGTACGGATTGCATTCGCGTCGTTGCATGATGCTCTGGGATTGTGAGAACCCCCATCCCTCACCCCCCTCCCCCCATCCATCTCGCTTGTTGTCCCCCCCTTGTTCTCTGTGTTTGCTTCTTGTGTCGGGATCATTGCTGTTCTCCTGGGTTTCCTTCTCTTGTCACCGCCTATATTGGCTTCCTGTCCCGTTCGGTGCTTGAGCACCGGCACTGCCAGATTTGCCGACCTGCTCTACTCTCCCGTTGTAAGAATCCGCCCATCCCCCCTTGTTCTCATAAAACCTTGTGCTCATAAACCCTTGTGCTCAACGATCTCCGTGCTCCCAGGTGTTTGACTGATGACCGCGCCACTCTGCTGCTCTACTCTCTTATCCACGGCAACTCAGCCTTCCTAGACTACTGCCTCGTGCGCTCGGATCTTGACACCCTGGTGAGAGGAGTACCCTGGTGGGAGGAGAACCCTGATGATAGGAGTACCCTGGTGGGAGGAGTACCCTGGTGAGAGGAGTACCCTGGTGGGAGCACAGGGGTGCGTTGGTGTCATGCTGCTTCAGGGAGAGGAGTACCCTGGTCGGAGCAGCAGTAGGGTACGGTGAGAAGGAGCGGGTCCTGGGTGGTTGGCGGCCGTGCTGGGAAGTCGGTTCATGCAAAAAGGGCAGAGCTCCAAGGATAGTATTTAGTTTTGAGACATCTTTAAACAGGCATGTCTTTCTTCTCCCCCCCCCCCCCCCCACCCTTTCCCTCTCCCTTCTTTTACCCCCCGTGCTTCCCCGCCCCCCTCTTCGCCCCCTTCCCCACACGAGCAGATCATGCCGCTACTGGAAATGCTGTACAACGCACCGCGGTGAACGTCCAACCAGATGATGAACTCTGATCACTTGAAGGGACCCACCTCTCTCCCCCTCCCCCCCCCCCCCTCTTCCCCCACTCCGTCCCTTCATATCAGATCATGCCGCTACTGGAGATGCTGTACAACGCGCCGCGGCGCACGTCCAACCAGATGTACATGCTGCTCATCATCCTGCTCATCCTCTCGCAAGACGCCTCCTTCAACGCCAACGTCCATAAACTCGTGCGTGCCCACCCTGCCCGCCCTGCCTTGCCTCTCCGCCCTACCCGCCCTGCCCTTCCTCCCCACACGCCCTCCCCGCCTGGTCGCTCTCCCCGCCTGCCCTCCTTCCATCCCCCTCCTTCCATCATCAGCATCCCTCTCCCATGTTTCATCCTGCCCTTTTCAACCCTCTCCACCCCCGCCCTTCTCTCTCATTCTTGCTCTATCTCCTTTCCCCTTTGAAGTCCCTTTTTCGTCCCATCTCTCCTTCCCCCGTCGTGACCCCCATCCGTTTTTCTATCCAAGTATTGCCTCAGCCTTTAAGTCTATAATCGTGGACTCGTTCCACATCGGATCCTCCACCAGCCGCACCCACGCGCATCACCATATCAGCTCCTGCTTTCCGTGCCCATGGTAGCAGCAGCAGCGCCTGCTCTCCCGCATCATCTGTTCTTGAATCAACTAAGAAAGAAAGAAGTAAGGAAGGGATTGAAAAAACGTCGTCATCCCTTTTCCCCCATCCATCCGCCCGCACCACCATACTAGATCCTGTCGTCTGTGCCATGGTACCAGGAGCGCCTGCTCTCCCGCATCTCCCTGGGCTCACTCATGGTCATCATCCTCATCCGCACCGTCAAGTACAACCTCTCCAAGCTTAGGGTCAGTGAGTCTGCATGTGATTCGACTCAAATGCTTCTAAGGCAACTCCTCTGCGTGTGGGTCAGTGCAACCCCCTCTGGCCGCTCATGGTCGTCATCCTCATCTGCACTGTCAAATACAACCTCTCCAAGCTCAGGGTCAGTGAGGGCCAGTGCACAGGGTCAGTGCACAGCACAGCTAACTGACACGGTGAATTCCAACCAATCAGAGGGACCCTGAGCAGTCTACTCTAGAACCTAGTTAACGCCTCCAGTGCATTTGAAGTACATTACAGGTCGTTTCAACCAACCCATGTAACGAACAGTGCAACGTCTGCAAGCTGAGAGCTGCAAGCTGAAAGCCAACGACCGACCTGCTTTTGAGTCGACTCAAAAGCTGAGAGCCAGCGAAGGACCTGCGTGAGGAGTCTATTTTTGAGGCGCCTCAAAAATAGACTCCGCCAGCGAAGGACCTGCACACCGTCAAGTGCCTGACCACCCCGCTGCAACGTCGGCTCCCTCTGCCCCTCCTCCCCTTCTCACATACTTCCCTCCATCCGCCCCCCTCATTTCCTCTTGTCCTCTGCTATGCCCCCCGCTGCCATAAGGACATGTATCTGCACACCAAAAACTGCCTCGCCCTTCCCGCCAACATGGCTCCCCATGCGCCGTGCCACACTGCCCACACGCACTCCTTCCCAGCATTCTTTTGAATCGATTCAAAGGCAGACCCACACTCACCGCTTTCCAACATCCTGCCCTGCATGCTCCCCCTCATTTTGCGCTTCGCCCATGTGCCTCTGCCTCCCCCCCTCCCTGTGTTCCTCACCCAAACCCCCCCACTATCTCTCCTATCCCCTCTATCCCCTCTATCCCCTCTATCCCCTCTATCCCCTCTATCCCCTCTATCCCCTCTATCCCCTCTATCCCCTCTATCCCCTCTATCCCCTCTATCCCCTCTATCCCCCCTATACCCCCTCTGCCCGCTCCCATCAGGACATCTATCTGCACACCAACTGCCTCGCCACTCTAGCCAACATGGCTCCCCACGCGCACCACCTCAACGCCTACGCATCCCAGCGCCTCATCAGCCTCTTCCACATGCTTGCACGCAAGTATGGCCGCTCCCTGCTGCTTCTCCTCCCTGCCTTTTTTTGTTGTGCTGTATCCCTTTTATGCGCTTCATTCCCATTGCTCACTCTCTCTCCCTCTTTGCACCCTTTCTCCCCCTCACCCTCCCCCTCGTTTGCCCCCCACTCTCCCAACCCTTTTTTTGTCCCCCTCATCTTCACCACGCCCCATTCTCCCCAATCCACCCACTCTCCCCACTCTACCCACTCTACCCGCTCTACCCACTCCACCCACTCCACCCACTCCACCCACTCTACCCACTCTACCCACTCTACCCACTCTACCCACTCTACCCACTCTACCCACTCTACCCGCTCTACCCACTCTACCCACTCTACCCGCTCTCCCCACTCTCCCCACTCTCCCCTCTCTACCCGCTCTCCCCACTCTCCCCACTCTCCCCTCTCTAACCAACCCCCCCACTATTCCTACCAGGTACACAAAGCTATCGACAGCAGCAGCGCACCCCATGCCTGGCAAGGCAGACTCCCAACCTGGCACACAGGGGCAGCAGGCAGCAGAGCAGGATGGCGATGGTGCTGGGGATGGGGTACGTTTGCAGCATGGGGTGTGTGAGGGGCAGGGGTATGTGTGCATAAAGAGGAAGCACGGGAGCATGGGGTAAGCATGGGAGCATGGGGTAAGCATGGGAGCATGGGGTATGCATGGGAGCATGGGGTATGCATGGGAGCATGGGGTATGCATGGGAGCATGGGGTATGCATGGGAGCATGGGGTATGCATGGGAGCATGGGGTAAGCATGGGGTATGCACGGAAAGTAAGCATGACTCCCAACCTGGCACACAGGGGCAGCAGGCAGCGGAGCAGGATGGCGATGGGGATGGGGATGGGGTACGTTTGCAGCATGGGGTGTTTGTTGGGCGTGGGGCATGTGTGGACTGTTGGGATATGCATGCAGGATGTGGTGTGTATAGATGTGGCTGGCTTGTCTTGGTGGGTGCGTTTTGGTGGGTGTGTTTTGGTGGGTGTGTCTTGGTGGGTGTGTCTTGGTGGGTGTGTTTTGGTGGGTGTGTCTTGGTGGGTGTGTTTTGGTGGGTGTGTATTTGTGGGTGTGTTTTGGTGGGTGTTTCTTGGTGGGTGTGTTTTGGTGGGTGTGTCTTGGTGGGTGTGTTTTGGTGGGTGCGTTTTGGTGGGTGTGTTTTGGTGGGTGTGTCTTGGTGGGTGTGTTTTGGTGGGTGTGTGTGTCTTGGTGGGTGTGTCTTCGTGGGTGTGTCTTGGTGGGTGTGTCTTGGTGGGTGTGTCTTGGTGGGTGTGTCTTGGTGGGTGCGTCTTGGTGGGTGTGTCTTGGTGGGTGTGTTTTGGTGGGTTTGTTTTGAAGGGTGTGTTTTGGTGAGTGTGTTTTGGTGGGTGTGTTTTGGTGGGTGTGTCTTGGTGGGTGGATGGTAGGAAGGACAAAGAGAATCTGTGGAGCTCTGGTTGCCTTGTCTGCACTGCACTGCAGTGCTACTCTCCCTGTATGCTCCACACGCATCTCGCTGGGGGCTGCTCCCTGTTGCTGTTGAGTCTGTTGTTGATTGCTGCTCTCTTCCGTCTCCCTCTCTCTCTCCCCCTCTTCCCCCTACCTGCCTCCCTCCCTCCCTCCCTCCCGCTTTGCCCTTGCTCTATCAGCAGCCCACAGGGCTGCACTTTTACACGGAATTCCTCACTTTTGTGGAGCCTTTTAGCCAGCTCTTTCTCTCCCCCCACCTTTATACCTCTCTCTCCCTCCCCCCTCTATAGCTCTTACTATCCTCTGCCTCTGTCTCTCGCGCTCTCTCGCTCTCTCTCACCCTCGCGCTACCAGCAGCCCACAGAGCTGCACATCTACACGGAATTTCTTTGAGGCGCCTCAAATGATCTCTTTTGCTTCTCTCTCTGCCTCCCCCTCTCTCGCTCTCTCTCCCCCTCGCACTACCAGCAGCCCACGGAGCTGCACATCTACACGGGCTTCCTTTGAGGTGCCTCGGAAAGAAGTCCCCACTTTCTTCTCCCTCTTTCTCCCCCTCGCGCTACCAGCAGCCCACGGAGCTGCACATCTACACGGACTTCCTGCGCATAGTGCTTGAGATCATCAACGCCATCCTCACCTACGCGCTCCCTCGCAACCCCGAGGTGAGCCGGAACCAGAGGACCCTGGTCGAACCAGGTGGCATGCATCCATGTGTGCATGCCTGCATGTCATGTTGAGAGAATTTTCTCCTCTAGTCTGCCTGACATGTGTGTGTTACTACCTGCATGTTGTAGCTGGCCAGGTATTGCTAGCTCTCAAAATCCGTCGACGTGCCATGGATCTAGCAGTACCTTCGTGTCCCTTGACCCCATAATCCCATTCCGTGACCTCTTTTTGCATGGACGCCATGGCAGGTGGTGTACGCGCTGCTGCATCGGCAGGAGCTGTTTGTGCCCTTCCGCAACCACCCCCGCTTCTGCGAGTTGCTGCAAAACATATTCACGGTGCGTGCATGCGTGCGTGCTGCACTGCATATTCACCATGTGAGATCCTTGAGGCGCCTCACTGTCTCACTCACTCACTGTCCCTGCCCTCCCCCCAAACCCCCCTTCCCCCCCCTCTCCTCCCTCCCCCCCCCTCTCCTCCCTTCCCTCCTTCCTCTTCCTTCTTTTCTCCAGGTGATCGACTTCTTCAACGTGCGCATGGACGACTATGACGTGGATGGCGACTGGTCCGTGGAGAGAGTGCTGGACGTCGTCATTGCCAATGCACGCACGTGGAGGGGCGAGGGTATGCAGGTAGGCTTTTCTTGCTGCTGGGCGTTCTTGCTTTTGAGGCGCCTCATACCCTGGTCCGTGGAGAGAGTGCTGGGCGTTGTTATCGCAATGCGATGACGTGGAGGGGCAAGGGTATGCAGGTAGGCTTTTCTAGCTGCTGGGCGTTCTTGCTGTTGGGGATTCTTGCTGGTGGGGGTCTTGGAGGTTTCTTAGGCGACTCAAGCGCCCTGTTATTTTCCGCAACTGCAACATCAGATGTTCACGGAGCTCAAGTTCACACATGAGGAGGAGACACACTCCGAGGAGTTTTTTGTGCTATCCCCACTACAAAGCTGCCGCCCTGACTTCCCTCCCCAACCCCTCGCCCCTCCCCACCCCCTTCTCCCAATCTTCCACCCCCCGCCCCCCCCTTCCTGCAGCAGATGTTCACGGAGCTCAAGTTCACGTACAAGGAGGAGATTTACCCTGAGGAGGTCGCTGTGCCATTTGAGTCGGCTCAAAGAACCTCCTCCCCTCCCCCCTTCTCCCCTTCTCCCCCTCTCCCCCCACCCCCTGATCTTCCCCTTTCCAACGGCTGCATCAGATGTTTATGAGGAGGAGATGCGCCCCGAGGAGTTCTTTCTTGATGTGCTTGAATCGACTCCAGAAACAATTAACAATCCCATCTCTCTCCCCCCCCCGCCCCTCTTCCCATCCCTCCCTGCACTCCCCTCACTCCCTTCGTATCCGACGGCTGCATGCAGACGTTCACGGAGCTCAAGTTTACATACGAAGAGGAGATGTACCCCGAGGAGGTTTCTGTGCTTTTGAGTCGAGTCAGCAACCCCTCCCCCCCCCCCCTTCCCGCCTCTCCCCCCACCCACGGACTTCCCTTTCCAATTGCACTACCAGATGTTCACGGAGCTCAAGTTCACGTATGAGGAGGAGATGCACCCCGAGGAGTTCTTTGTGCCATACGTGTGGACGCTGGTGGTGGCACACAGCGGCATCCCCTGGAACCCCGACTGCATCGCCATGTTCCCCGTGCGCTCCTCCTCCTCCGCCGAGGTGAGGAAGGCTTTCCGTGTGACGAGTTCAGGTTTTGGGGGTTTGGATCATTTATGAGGTGTTGGGGGCAGGGGGAGTGTCCAGACATCTGGGGACAAGGGGGGGGAGGGGACGGGGGACATGTGGTGCAGGGGGAACAGGAGCAGAGGGACGGGGGGAATGGGGGGGGTCTTTTGTGCTGTGAAACCCCTGGAACCCCGACTGCATCGCCATGTTCCCCGTGCGCTCCTCCTCCTCAGGGCAGGGGCTAATCCGGTTTTTGGGTTTTAGGTTCAGGGTGTTGGGGGCGGGAGGAGTGCGCAGACAACAGAAAGCAGTGGGGGAAAGGGGAGGGGGGCAGGGGAAACAGGAGGAGAGTGGCTGGGGGTCAGGGTGACAGGAGGGCAGGGTCTTCCCCCCTCCCCCGCCCCTGGAGGACAAATTTGATGCAGGTGCTGTTGACAAGCACGCATTCTTTCTTCCCCTTTCCCTGAGCCTCCCTCCCCTTTCGTCCCTCCACCCCCCCTCCCCCCTGCACCACTGCTGTGCGTGCATCAGCACCTGGAGGACATTTTTTTCTGCAGATGCGTTTGACACACACTCCCCCACCCATCCCATACTCACGATCTCCCCTCTTTCCCCCCGGCCCTGCCTCTCCCCCCCCCCCGCCTTTCTCCCGTACGACTGCTGTGCGTGCATCAGCACCTGGAGGACATATTTGATGCGGATGCGTTTGACACACACTCGGAAATGGGGCCCACGCCCAGAGAGGAGGTTTGAAGGGTGGGGAGGAAGGGTGGTGCGGGGGTAGGGAGAAGGGAGAAGGGCCGTGGGGGAAAGGGCGGAGCACTAGTGGGGGCAGCGCGGAGGGCCACTGGGGGGAGGGTGGAGGTTAGGGTCATTGGCAGAAAGGTGGAGCGCTATGGGGGCAAGGGAGGAGGCCAATCCGGGGAAAGGGAGGAGGAGGACCGTTGGTGGGTAGTGTGTGCCAGGGTTGTTGGATGAAGCAGTGTGTTGTGTGTGTTGTGGACAAATCGCTGTTTAAGGAGTAAGGAGGACAGCGAGGGACAAGAGGAGATGGGAGGGAGGGGAGGGAGTGGGAGGATAGTTGTGGTGATCTTGGCGGTAGCACTTGGTTGTGGCTGTGGTTCTGGTTCTGGTGGTGGCAACTCTCTGTGTGTGCCTGGCATAACTCATTCTGGGATGGTAGCACAGCACTCCTTGTGGCGGCACTTGGTTTTGTCTAAGGGGTTGTACTCTATAAGATTGCACCTATCTAGCCTATAATATACATAAAATTTATGTTGACACTCCCCCTAGGCTAGGCAAGGGGCAACGACCAACACAAGACACGCAGCTCAGGTTGGCGCTACTAGTCCAACCACTGAAGCAGGAGTTTGAAGACCAGTTGAACAAGAGTACACACAAAACAAGAGCAACCCAGGGTGGCACTACTAGTCCAGCCATTGGAAAAGGGGCAACAAGGCCAGTCAAGATAATATATGATGAAGTACACAATCAAGGTCCAAGCGAACTAAATACCGAACCTCTGAAGGACGTAGCGCATTATGTGTGACTGTGTGAGAGTGATGGTGCGCGCTACTCTGTCTATAGAGATCTGCAAGCTAAGGTAGCGGCGCAGCTCTCCTAGGTCAGTGCAGGTATGTCTCCTCAACAGCTCGGCCTTCACGGAGGCACGTCTGTCTCTGTCTGCAGAAGCGAATATCACATCGTGTACGTAGACAAGCATGTAGAATGGGGTCTGACCTGAACGAACGATATGCGAAGGGTCTGCAAACGATGGGAAGAACTGCAGGTCAGCTAATGTAGCACGAAGCGTGTCGTGCCACTCGCACGGCAGCTGTCGAGAAGTCGAGAGAGTGCAGCTCCTAGTCACGCTGTGCTGCTACGTATAGCAGCGCCCGAAGAGTAGTCATCTTCGGGGTCGGAGCGAAGGTCTGAAAAAAATCAACACCCTCGTGCTGATTGAAGCCTCTAGCAACGTAGCGTGCCTTGAACATCGGCGGCTCTCCATGAGGGCGCTTCACCTTGAAGAGTCACCGGCCATCGACTACGTCCCTCCCTCCCATCTCCTCTTGTCCCTCGCTGTCCTCCTCCCTTGCGTCGACGTACCGGTAGGTGCCGGTGGATCTCCGAGATGCCATCTCCGCGTCCATGCCAGCTATCCACTAAGAAGCCCAAGGTCCCGAGGTCGCCTCAGCGTAAGTGCGAGGGTTCGAGATCTCAAAGGCGTCTGGGTCACCCTCAGGGACTAGCAGCATTGAGTAGAGATGAGGCGCGGCCTCGGACAGGAAAGCAAGCTCATACTTTCGGTCCTCCAGAACGTCACTGTCAAGGGTAGGAGTACCCCCGATGGACGGAGGACGGGCAGGGTCAGAGATCAGAGCGGTGGCATAGTCAAGGCGGCAGGTAGCGACAAAGTCAGTGACGGCAGCGACAAGAGCTTCAAGACTGGAGACTGGAACAGACGGGTCGGTAACAAAAGAGGCGAGAACCAGAGGAACAAGAGGACTAGCGGTACACAGGAAGTCAAACAAGGGAGACAGAGTGACAACCAGCGACGACGGAGGAGGCGACGGGAGAAGGGGAGGACGAGACGCGTGGGAATGAAGCAACATAGGGTGAGAGCACTGGATAGGAGAGACAGGATGAGCACGAGAGGGTCGGCAAGAGCACAAGTGGGACGGAGGCGTGGGGTCATGAGACACAGGAGGAGACACAGGGGGGGAACGCAGGGGAAGACGGTCCGGAGACGAGTCCGGCGGAGGAAACACAGGACCGTAGACAGGCGGGCGAGGCGCAGGCGGGCGGTCACGGGAGGGAAGACCAAGGAGGCGAAGGGCGGACACCGGCGGAGACTACTGGTGCTGCTGCTCCACGTCGATACCAGAGCCTCAAGCTGCACCACGGCTACTTCCGGGACGCTCCACAACAGCACCCCCATAACGAGAACCCTCTCCAGCATCGGTGCCACCCTCAGGACCGCCGGGACAAGCCACGATAGTACCCGTAGGACTAGCACCCTCTTCAATGACAACACCCCCAGAGCTCGCGGATTCCTACAGCGGCTGCGCCTGCGGCTGCGATGGCGGCGACTGCTGCTGCGGCTGCGGTGGGGATGGCGGCTGATGCAAAGACGGCAGAGGAGGAGACACCGGGGCAGAGACAGTCGGTAAAACCAAAGCCACGGGGCCCCCGGAGTCAACCGACTTCTCCACCGGGACAACCGATGGGAGGGGAGTGATGTGCGACACACCAGACGGGGCAGGACGGGGAGGAAGAGGAGTAGGGGCTACCAGGGGAGTGAGGACCAGGAACAGGGGCGGGGCAACTGGGAGACCTCGGTGGGGAAAGCAAGTGTAGAAAGAGACAGACTCGTCAAAAGTGACGTCACGTGAGTGAAAGAAACGGTGAGACGGCGGATGGTAAAAGTGCCAGACGCGTCAAGGGGGAAACCAAGGAAGACACAAGGGATGGTGCATGCAGAGAGGTTGTCAGTACCAGAGGCAAGGAAGCCCCAGACGTGGAACGCAGACTCGTCACCACGAAACCCAGTCGCTGCGGCCGCAGGGAGTGTAGCCATAGGTTAAGGCGGTGAGCGGCATAGCGAACCACAGAATATGGGATGCACCGGCATGGACCATGGAGGTACGAGCCACCTCCCTGACCAGGCCGATGCGATGCTCAGCGACCCCATTCTGGTGCGGGGAGTCTGACAGGGTGTAAGACTGAGTGATGACCTCCGCACAACAGAACTGGCCAAGCCGACCAGAGGCGAACTTGCCACCACGGTCAGAGTGGAGACGCGGCATGGGGAGGCCACAGTAGACTCGCGCAGCTACAATCCAATGGATAAGAACGCGAAGAATATCAATCTTTCGCTCTAGGGGAAACATCGTGGTGTAGCGCGTGTAGTCGTCGACAAGCATGAGAAAGTAGTGCTCTCGACGCAGCCTAGGGACGGGGGCTGGGCCCAAACGTCCAGGTGCAGGGTCTGGAGTGGCGCAGTGGTAGGGGGGAGCGAGGAGTGAGGAGCCCGGTGAAGACAGCCCTCGACGCAAGGCGTAGGGAGTGAGGGCAGGGAGCGACTTAGGGAGACCGAAGACAAGCCCATGATGGGACATGTGACGCAGACGCGGGAGTGCAGGGTGACCTAGGCGGTGATGCCACAACAGTGAAGGGTTGGTGAGCGACCGACACGAGCAGGCTGCAGCTACCTGGGAGGACGCGGCGACCTGGGGGGACGCTTCGACCGGGGGGGATGCCGTGTTCAGCGTGAACAGACCAGACATGGGGTCACGGGGGAACGTAGTGAGAGGAGCACCAGTGGTGGCCTCGGTACAGGCTGTGTACCGCTCGTGTCCAGGGAACGTAGTGGTGACGCCAAGGTCCTGAAAACAACTAGGTTCCTGGAGAACGAGGGGATGTGCAAGCCTATAAGAGAGCCTGAGCGAACTGTAGGACAGGGAAGGGTAGTGGAGCTACGTGCAACTATTGGACATGAGGAGGGGTCTGCAAGCGCTACAGCGGCAGGGGCAGCAAGCGGCGTGAGTGCCGTGTGGTCGCGAAAGAAGCAGGCGGACGCACCAGAGTCTAGCGTTAATGAGAGCACGGCGGTAGCGGCCACAGGCAGAGGAGCCAGCGTGGAGCCGAGGCTAAACAAGGAAGATGGTCCTACGCCTGACGCAGCAGGGGTAACTAGACTACACTCAGTGGACACACCTACACTAGGTAACACACTGGAGTCATCAGAATACATGATATATATAGCAATCTTAATCTAGTCCATATCAAGCTCAATGACAAGCACACAACGGTGCACCGGGGCGTACCCGTCAGGAGGGTCCGACGTGGGACCAAATCGAAGACAGAAGAGGTCGTCAAGGCGGCGGTGTGACCGGGACGGTCGCAAACAATGCCGCGGCAGGGGCCAGACTGAAGCTGGTACTGGCAGGTGGCCACACTAGAGGCACCACCCGACACCCAGCTGCGAGGCCCACCATCACGACCACCACCACCAGCGCCACTAGGCCACCACGGCGGCGGGGGACCCCATGGCGGCTGCTGCTGCTGCTGCGGCTACTGCTGCTGCGGGGGTTGCTGCGGCTGCTACTGCTTCTCCGAGGCACCAGCCCCGGTCCCCTCGTCTGCACCAACGTCCCCGCCCCCACCACCCTTCCCTCCACCACGCGCCCCCAGGGGCAGCGGCCCTTACCCTGAAGCTGCTGCGCTGAGGCCGCGCCAGCGGTCTCAGCAGCAAGGGTTGTCTCAGCGACAGCGGCATAAACATCAGAGTCAGTGCACTAGAAGGGAGCACAGCCCTGGAACATAGGGACCGGCGCAGTACCGCTAGACTGCACGATAATGCGTTGGTGGGTCTCTAACGCAGACAGAGAGGTGACAAAGGCAGGGAGGGTGAGGTCACCTGGGTGCTGACTAAGGAAGTGGTCGCGGGCAGAAGCTAGGCGATCAGCAAGGTGCGTGGCAATGAGGTAAAGGGTGGCACAAAGCGACGGAGGGAAGGTAGTGAGCCATGCCTCAGTGCTAGCAGCGCGGTGGCTAGTCTGCAATGCGCGGAGGTGAATGGCAAGGTTAGCGTCGGTGGGGAAGGACGCAAGGTCAGGGAACTGCATGGGGTGGATCAGACGGCCAGCAGAGGCTGAGGTGGGGGTGGAATAGCGAGGATGACGGCATATAAGTATTCCTTGGCATTTGCTACAGCGTTAAAACGGGGACGCTCAGACAGCGGAAGGGTGTGACTAATGGCAAGTTGCACAACGATGATTCGCGAATCCCAGACAGCGCAGGCAAGCTCAGCAGCGACAAAAGCCTCACGCTCAGCAGACGTGGAGGCGTCAGGGAGGGCAGCAGGCAGGGCGGGGCGAGGGAGCTTACCGTCGACATGGACGGCTAGGGAGTGGCCGTCCTGGCGCTGCCCGATCAGCTGGCAGCGGAGGTCGACGAGCCACGCCTCAAACTCAATGGCCCGACCCTCCTTGTCCAAAAGGAGCAGAGAGTCCACCATCTCCACGACTTCAGCAGTTGACTATCGCTGACAAGGGGAGGAGGGAAAGTGGAGGAGGGCTGTGGAGAGCGGTGGAGAACAGTGGAGTGTGGTGGAGTGCGGTGGAGTGCAGTGGAGTATGGTGGAGAGCGATGGAGACTGCCGGCGGGAGCGCCGGCTCTGAGAGGAAGCCAAGGCTGGCGGGTCAGCTCGACTCGGCGGTGGGAAGGGCTGAGACGGGCTGGGACCGGCAAGGCTGCGGCCGGCAGTGTGGGGGGCAGCGACTGGCGGCTACGGGCGGGCGGCGACAGGCGGGCCAGCGGCTACGGGCAACTGGCGGCTACCGGCGGCCAGCGGCTACGGGCGGCTGGCAGCAGTGGGCGGCCAGCGGGGACGGGCGGCTGGCGGCAACGGGCAGCCAGCGGCTACGGGCGGGCTGGCGGCGACGGGCGGCAGGCGGCGATAGGCGGCCAGCGACTACAGGCGGGCTGGCAGCGACGGGCGGCCAGCAACGACAGGCGACCAGCGGCTACAGGCGGGCTGGCGGCGACGGGCGGTCAGCAGCGACGGAAGGCTGGCGGCTACATGCGGCGACAGGCGGTCAGCGGGCTATGGGCAGCTGACGGCTACGGGCGGTAGCGACGGGCGGCAGGCAGTTGGCGACTAAGGGCGGCCAGCGGGCCGACGGCTACGGGCAGCCAGCGGCTACGGGCAGCGACAGTCGGCCAGCGGGCTACGGGCAGCTGGCGGCTATGAGCGGCGACGACAGGCGGCGGGCAACTGGCGGCCAAGGGTGGCCAGCAGGCTGGCGGCTACGGGCGGCCAGCGGCGACAGGCGGCCAGCGGCTACGGGCGGCGACAGGCGGCGAGCGGGCTGCAGGCAGCTGACGGCTACGGGCGGCAGCGACGGGCGGCGGGCAGCTGGCGGCTAAGGGCGGCTAGCGGGTTGGCGGCTACGGGCGGTCAGCGAAGACAGGCGGCCAGCGGCGACGGGCTACGGGCGACGGTCGGCAGGCAGCCGGCGGCTACGGGCGACGGACGGCCAGCGGCGGTGAGCAGTGAGCATCTAGCAGCGGAGGCTAGCGACAGTCAGCTAGGAATGGGCGGCTAGCGACGTGCGGCTCGGGCTAAGGCTAGGACTAGGGCGGAGGCGTGGGTGGGCGGGATCCTAACCAAGTGTGATACCATCTCATAGTAGAAAGCTTGATTTGAATGTGTCATACATGGTAGTTTTATCAAAATTAATGAATGACTAGAAAGGTGGGATACAAGGGAATATAACCTAGTGGGTTGTACTCTCTAAGGCACAACCCTATGTAGTCTACAACAACATACAAAGATATGTTTCACACACCCCCTAGACTGGATAGGGGCAGTGCCTGGTGAGAGACAAGCAGCTCAGGATGGCACTACTAGTCCAACCTCTGAGACAAGGGCCTGAAGACCAGTCAAACGAGTACAGACAAGGCAAGGGCAAAACCAGGGCGGCACTACTAGTCCAGCCATTGGGAAGAGGCCACAAGGCCAGTCAGGGTAATATATATATAAAGGTCTGTACACAATGCAGGTCATAGCACATGAGAGACTACATGAACAAGACCAAGCTGTACACTGTACCGCTGATGATCTTTAGGCGTAAGCGCCTTCGTAAAGATATCAGCTGTGTTGGCACCGGAGGCCAAGTGTACTACGCGGGCCTGGCAATGCTGCTGTAGCTCGCGCAGGAGGAAGTACCGCAGCTGGATGTGCTTTACTCTGCCCTCGAGTCTGGGCTCCTGACACAGGAGGATCATGGCCCTGTTGTCAGCGTACACGACCGGGGCAGAGCTAGGCCGCTCACCTAAGCCTGTGAGCAAGAAAGTCAGCCAACGGAGCTCTTGTGCCACCATGGCATCAGCGTAGATCTTAGCCTCACAGCTAGATTGGGCAACTGAACACGAACGGGTGGACCGCCACGAGACAGCACCTGCACCAAGGCTAAAGAAGTAGCCCTCGGAGGACCGGAGAGTCTCTGCGTCGTCGGCCCAAGAAGCGTCTTTGTGCCCGATAAGGACCACTGGTCTGCGTCTTCCTAGCACTAGTTCCAAGCCCGATGTACTTGGTGGATAACGCAAAACCCTCTTAGCTGCCGACAAGTGCTGTGGTTGGGGTCAGCCGGTGGCCACAAAGCGAGCCAAGATGCAAGTCATCAGGTACATGAGGCAACCCACTAGCTCTGCGTAGGGGCCACTAGGCCCTACAGCCTCCTCCGGGACTGGAGCAGAGAGTCTGTGGTCTATTGGCAGAGGGGTGGGCTATGCAGAAGAGAACCAAAGGCCGAACCTCTGAAGGACCTAGCGCACCAAGTGTGACTGTTAGAGAGTGATGGTGCACGCTGCTCTATCCGTGGAGATCTGCATGCCAAGGTAGCGGCGCAGCTCTCCTAGGTCAGTGCAGGCGTGTTTCCTTAGCAGCTCGGCTTTCACGGAGGCTAGCGCGTCTCTGTCTGCAGTAGCTAAGACCAAGTTGTCTACGTAGACAAGGATGTAGAACGGAGTCTAGCCGGAACGGACAAAGAGCGAGGGGTCTGCAGATGACGGGAAGAACTGCAGGTCAGCAAGTGTAGCACGCAGTGTGTCATGCCACTCATGGGGCGCCTGTCGCAAGCCGTAGACGGGGCGCCGAAGGAGCCACTCGGTACCAAGGGGAAAGGTTCCGGAGAAGCCCTAGGGGCAGCACATGTAGACCTGCTCGTGTAGACTGCCTTGGAGGAAAGCTGTAGAGAAGTCGAGGGAGTGGAGCTATTAGTTACGCTATGCTGCTATGTGTAGAAGTGCCCTAAGAGTAGTCATCTTCTGGATGGGGCGAAAATCTGAAAGAAGTCCACCCCCTCATGCTGACTGAAGCCTTGAGCAATATAGCGCGCCTTGAAGACAGGTGGCTCTCCAGGAGGGCGCTTCATCTTGAAGAGCCATCGGCCATCAACTACATTCACCCCAGGTGGGGGAACGGTGTCGACAAAGGTACCGGTGGATCTCCAACATGCCATCTCCTGCTCCATGGCAGCTATCCACGGACAGGCCAAGGGTCTCGAGCTGGCCTGAGCGTAGGTGCAAGGGTTCGGGATGTCAAGGGCGTCTGGGTCACCCTCAGGGACTAGGAGCATGGGATAGAGATGGGGAGCAGCCTCAAACAGGAAGACGAGCTCATACTGCATGTCCTCTAGGACGTCGTTTCCAAGGGCAGCCACACCCGTGAAGGACGGAGGGCAAGCAGGGTCAGAGACCAGAGCGGTGGCGTAGTCCAGGCGGCGGGTAGCGGGAAAGTCAGTGACAGCAGCGACAAGAGCCGACAGACTCGAGACAGGAGTGGACGGGTTGGTAACAAGAGAGGCAAGGACACGAGGAACTAGGGGATTCAGAGAACGGAGGTGGGGCCACAACAAGCGACGATGGGGGAGGAGACGGGAGGAGAGGAGCAGCACGAAACGCGTAAGAGCAAAGCAACAGAGGGTGAGAACGTGGAACAGGGGAGGTAGGACGGGCACGAGACGGACGACGAGGCCAGAGGTGAGACGGTAGAGTCGGGTTAGGAGAGAGGGGGGGGAGACACATGAGGAGAACGTGGAGGGAAAGAAGTTGGAGAGGAGTCCGAAAGAGGAAACACCGGGCCGTAGACCGGCGGACGAGGAGGCGGCGGCGACGCAAGAGGCACCGCCAGATGGTCAGAGGAAGGAACACCGAGGAGGCGAAGAGCAGACACTGGGGGCGACTGCTGCGGCTGCTGCTCGACTCCAACTTGCCACTGCGGTCAGAGAGAAGACGCAACACAGGGAGACCTCGGTGCATACGCGCAGAGACATGCCACGGGAAGAACGCAAGGCACATCAGCCTTCCCCTCTAGGGAAAACACGGTGTTGTAGTGCGTGTACTCGTTGACAAGCACTAGGAAGTAGCGCTCGCGACGCGGCCCATGGACAGGGGCGGGGCCCCCAGACGTCCATGTGCATGGTCTGCCGTGATGCGACGGTGGGGGGGAACGAGGAGGGGTGAGGGGCATGGCGGAGCCAGCCCTCGACGCAGGGCGTGCACAGCCGCACTGGGGAGGAGGGGAGCATAGGGAACGACTCAGGAAGACCTAAGACAAGACCATGCTGGGAGATGTGACGGAGAGGGGTTAGAGCGGGGTGACCTAGACTGTGGTGCCACAGAAGCGACGGATGAGTAAGCGACAGACACGAGCAAGCCGCAGCAACCTGGGTAGGCGCTGCTACTTGGGGAGGCATCCCAACCTGGGGGGACGCGGTGTCCAACATGAACAGGCCAGACACCGGTTCCCGGGGGAACGTAGTGAGGGGGGTACCAGTGGTGGCCTCGGTACTGACAGCGTACCGCTCGTGCCCAGGGAACGTGTGGTTACGCCAAGGTCCTGGAGGCAACCGACACCAACTTGGTTCCTTGAGAACAAGGGGATGTGCAAGCCTGGAAGGGAGCCTGAGGGAACCGCCGGACGGGGAAGGGTGGTGAAGCTATGGGCGACTACAGGACCGGAGAAAGGGTATGCAAGAGCAATTGCGGCGGGAGCGGCAAGCAGTGTAAGCGTAGTGGAGTCCCTAAAGAAACACCGAGAAGCACCGAAGTCCAGGGTGAAGGAGAGCGCGCCAGTGGCGACAGGGGTCGAAGGAGCGAGGGAGGACCCTATGCTAAACAAGGCAAAGGATCCTACACCTGACGCAGTAGGGGATCCTGAAATAGGCACACTGGGCACAACTACACTAGGCAACACAGGGTATTAGGAACCAGTCACACTAGAGTCATCGACATACAACACATACAAAGCAGAGTTAATCTCATCCATGTCCATATAAAAGATCCTAAAACCACGACGGAGCAGACTGTGCCAGTTAGGACGGTCTGACGATGGGCCGAAGCGGAGACGAAACAGGTCGTCCAGGCGACTGAAGCAACGAGTCGGGGTATGGCCGATCTTACCCCACACGAGGCCGTGGCGAGGACCGATCTGGAGCTGGTTCTGGCAGCACCCGTCACTCTGACCACCACCCGACGTCACGCTGCGCACACGACCACTTTGACCATCGCCACTGCCGGCGCCCGGCCCTCCGGGCGGGAGACGGCCGACCTGTCGCTGCTGCTGTTGCTGTTGTTGTTGTTGTTGTTGTTGTTGTTGTTGTTGTTGTTGCTGCTGCTGCTGCTGCTGCGGCGGCGGGTGTTGCTCCTGCTGTTGGTGCTGGTCTAGCGGCGGCGCGTGCTCCTGCTGCTGGTGGGGCTGCTGCTCTGAGGCACCAGCCCCAGCCACCTCGTCAGGACTACCAGCAGGGGAGCCACCTCAACCACCAGCACCACCCCCTCCTCCGCTACCTCCGCCGCGCCCAGCCTTGGGGCGGCGACCCTTACCCCGACGAAACTGCGCTGCGGTGGGTGTCTCCGCAGCAGGAGCTATCTCAGCGACAGCAGCAGAACCGTCAGAATAAGTGCACTGAACGGGGGCACAGCCCTTAAAGATAGAGACTGGCACGGTACCACTAGACTAGGCGATAGAGCGCTAACGAGTCTGTATGGCACGCAGGGTGTCGACAAAGTCAGTGCGGGTGAGGTCAGCGGGGTGGAGACTAAGGAAGTGATCACGGGCGGTGGCAAGGCGGTCAGGGAGGCTGGTGGCAAGCAGGTAGAGGGTAGAGCAGATTGGGGGCTTAAACACACGAAGCTGGGCCTCAGTGCAGGCTGCGCGCCAGGTCGTGTCTAGCGTGCGCAGGTGGGCAGCCATGTCATCGACAGTAGGGAAAGACGCGAGATTCGGAAAGAGCATAGGCAGGATCAGACGACCGACGGAGGCAGAGGGCGGGGTGGAATAGCGCGCGACAATAGCCTCTAGAAACTCCTGCGCATTCCTGACCAACCTAAAGCGGGGGCACTCGGACAGGGGGAGGGCATGACTAATCTTGAGCTGTGCGACAGCGTCACGCGACAACCAGACAGCACAAGCAAGGGCAGCAGCGGCAGCGGACTCGCGGTCAGCATACGTGGGGTCAGCGGGTAGAGTAGCAGGGGGTAAGGGTAGGGGAGCATACTGTCGATGTGGACGGCCAGGGAGTGGCTGTTCTGCCGCTGACCAGTCAGGTGGCGGCGGAGGTCGACGAGCCATGAGTCGAAATCAACCGGCTGCCCCTCCGCATCAAAATGCGGGACCGAGTCCGCCATCATGGTCGCTGCAGCATGAGAAAGGCGTAACTAGGCTGTACTGAGTGACAGAGTGCGGCGGGAAGCATTGGTGTGCGGTGCGGTGCTGTTCAATGTGGTAGACGGCGGTAGATGGAGGTGTAGTACGGTAGGGTGTGGTGCAGTGCGGTGCAGAGCGGTACTGTCCGGTGCAGTGCGGTATAGTGCGGTGTGGTGCGGTGCAGTGCGATGGAGTGTGGTGGAGAGGGCCGATGACGGCGGCAAGGCGTCTTGGAGATGGGGCCGCGGGCGGCGAGGCGACGGGGCCGGCTAGGCGGTGAGGTGACGGGGCCGGCTAGGCTACGGGGCCGGCTGAGGGACGGGGCCGGCTAGGCGACGGGGCCGGCTGAGCAACGGAGCCGGCTAAGCGACGGGGCCGGCTGGGCGACGGGGCGGACTAGACGACGGGACCGGCTGGACGACGGGGCCGGCTAGGCGACGGGGCCAGGGCCGGCTAGGCGACGGGGCCAGGGCCGGCTAGGCGACGGGGCCATCTAGGCAACAGGGCCAGCTAGGCGACGAGGCCGGCTGGGCTACGGGGCCGGCCGGGCGACGGGGCCGGCTGGGCTACGGGGCCGACTAGGCGACGGGGCCGGCTGGGCGACGGGGCCGGCTAGGCGACGGGGTCGGCTAGGTGGCGGGGCCGGCTGAGTTACGGTGCCGCTGGGCGACGGGGCCGGCTAGGCGACAAGACCGGCTAGGCAACGGGGTGAGCTAGGAGGCGGGGCCGGCTGGGCTACGGGGCTGGCTAGGCGACGCGGCCGGCTCGGCGACGGAGCCGGCTAGGAGGCATGGCCGGCTGTGCTACGGGGCCGGCTAGGCAAAGAGGCCGGCTAAGCGACGAGGCCGGCTAGGCGACGAGGCCGGCTAGGCGACGGGGGCCACTAGGGGACGGGCCAGCACGGGCGGGAGGGGAACGGGGCGGCTAGGACCTAGGGCGGAAGCGTTAGTGGGTGGGGGGGGACCTAACCTACTCATGATACCATATCAAAGTTAACGAATGACTAGAAATATCGGATACAATGGAATATAACCTAGTGGGTTGTACTCTCTAAGGCATAACCCTATATAGTCTATAACAGCATACAAAATTATGTTTGACAGTTCTGTCTAAGGGGTTGTAGTCTCTATAAGACAGCACCTATCTAGTCTAAAACATATACAAAATACATGTTGACAGTCGCTTATGTGTGAATCTCAGAAAACCGAGATCCTAACATGCATGTCACTGCCTGACCCAAATGTAAGCATATGAAGGCTGAGCTATCAGTGTAGTAACCAGGCCCTCAGATTGGTTTTAGAGAGGCTGATTGCTCAGGGTCGCCCATGTGAGAGCCCATGTTTTTCAGGGTCGGGTTTTGGGCGTGGCATGTTTTTTCAGGCCAATTGTTTTTTTTAGTCTGACTTATTAGGCCTACATTTTTGTAGTTTCTGATTCTTAGGTCGGATTGGACTTCACTGCGTGCAATTCTTCTCGTCAGATTCCTGCCTGATTTTAACTACGGACCAATCAACCCCCTCACACCTCCTCCAGCTCGCCTGGAACTTGTGTGATTCTGGTCAAGGACCAATCATGCCCCCCACACCTGTTGTAGCTCGCCTTGAAGTTCCGTGATTGTGGTCAAGGACCAATCACGCCCCTCACACCTGCTCTAGCTCGCCTCGAACTTGCGTCATTTTTTGTCAAGGACCAATCACGCCCCTCACACCTGCCCCACCTCGCCTCGAACTTGCGTCATTTTTTTGTCAAGGACCAGCCATGCCCCTCACACGTGCTCTAGCTCGCCTTGGCAGATAAGATTCAGATTCAGGGCGAATTTCGAGTAAGGCTGATTCGTCGGGCTTGGTAAAACAAGAACATACTAATTTTCAGGCCTTAGAAAATGGGAACACATAAATTTCAGATTTGATAAAAATCAAAACCTGAAAAACCAGGTTATGCCCTAGAAAACACCCTGATATACAGGCTTTCAGGCCTTTCTTGCCTGACTTCTAAGGCCCTGGTAGTAACCTTTCCCGCATTAGCCATCTATGCAGCATAAACGTGCTTATTCAAGTACTAATGGTATAGTTCCTGTGAACTAGAAGGTGTTGAAGTAAAAGGCAGAGCTACAAAGTTTGTTACCACATGTTCATTAGGCAATTATTAGCAAAATCTTATTACAAACTGAAATTGTCAGAATCACGATGCGTAAGTGTTAGTAGTACACTATAGCTTCCTCTTTGGCTGAGATGGTATGGGTTTTCGCGCTCACCGCGTTAGTGTGTCCCCAACCAAAGGGCCTCGTTTGCAGCCTGTCAGGCATGGAAACTCGCAATTCTCTGGTGCAGCTGCACGAAACAATGGTGAGGTCCCTTGTCGGCTTGCAAATCAAGCCCTGGGTCTGACGTCGGCACGATTATGCTGGTCGCACACCGGCAGATTGTACAACCTTCAAGACATCAAGCCGCCATCCTGCCGTTGAGCGCTAGCTAGTCGTTCATTTTGAAGCGCGAACGACACTTATTTTTGCCGACAAACGACAAGTGTTCGTACTTCGCAGCATCGTGCGACATGAGAGGGAGATGTGTGTTGCGCCTACGACGAATTTTTGTGCACTCAACCCGAACCGCGATGACAGGCACAGCCCGAAGCAACCAAAACCAAACCAGCCCACTCCCTCCACCAACACCTCACGGAAAATCTGCAAATGGCAGTGCGCCCCTCGAGCAGAACGCGCGAAACCCTGGTGGCGTGGCGCGCGACTGCGACCTAGCGTGCCCCACATGCCAAAAGCTTTCATTTCGTAAACTGCTGCCCGCTCACGGTAGTCTGCGCTGGTTCCCTTCAACAGAGGGGGGTGCTTTCTTTTTTAGAGCGGATCGCGGCCTCGTTTCGACAAATTGGGCAAGCCCGAGCGACGAAAGGAGCCCGCGTCGCGCAAAACCTCATCGGCCTCGATTCGAGACCAACCAAAAGGGCCGTAAGCCATTCCCATTCCACTCAGTTTTGCTCTCATTGCAATCAACGACTAGGAGTTGTTCTAGCCTCAGTTTTTCTCCCCCGCTCTTGACTTGCACATTTGCAGGGCGCCAATTTTGCTGGGAAGTCTGACCACCTAGCCTCTCACACTTCCCTCAAGTCTCATACCCATCACGCGTATCTCTGCACTTCACCAAATTTAGCTTCCCAACTGCGCCTCAACGCCTCAATTTTTCGCAAGACTTGGCTGATAGTCACTGTCTTCCCCTATTCTAGAGCCTCCACGAAATTACAAGACGCTTGCTCTTAGCTCTTTCCACAAGGACCACGTCGCCATGGCTCGTCGCATGGCGCTCTGCATACTGGCGCTCCTAGCCGCCTCCACCTTCTCGTTGCACTGCAGCGCCAAATTCCTCTACGACCCTCCTCCGGGCTTCAAGGCGCCTCCCGACACCGTGCCTCTCCTCCCGCCTCCCGGGCCGAAGCTGCCTGACCCAAACGTAGGCCCCATTGCAAGCCTCGCGGACGTGTGCAAGGTCTGCACGTCCAAAGCGTACACGCCCGACTGCATGGGCGACTTCACCGCCCGCTGCCTCAAGGCACAGAAGATCTACCGCGAGCAGATCCTCGGTATCCCCGATAATATCTGCCATTGCTACCAGGCTATAGGCACGGAGCTCCTCGATTCCTGCCCGGGAGCGGTGAAGCAGCTCGCGTGGCTCGGCAACTGCGACAACTTTTGCTACTACGGCGTGCGCTGCCCTATTATCTTCGCCCTTTACAGTCTCGCGTCGCCCAAGTACGCGCGTATCGCAAATGACAACAACCCCAACGCGCCGAAGCCCGCGCCACGCGGGTCCGCGCTCGTCGTCGTTAAGTTCCGCATCGACCAAAAGGTCGGCCACGATATCTGCTACCGGTTCTACCCGTCAGACGACTTGCCGGCCGTCCAATCCGTCGTTCTCTACCACGCGACGATCGCGCAAACCGGAACGGCTCTGGTGAAACTAATGGCGTCCGGCAGCAGCCCGGCCAAGGCGTGCATTTCCGTGCAGCACACGCTGATCAAGGCGCTTAATGACAACTCGACGTCGTTCTACGTGCAAGTTAACACGGCGGCCGGCGCCGTCCGCGGGCAGCTCGTTGCGACGCCGCGTCTCATGACCGCCGCCACGTCAGTCGACGCCGGCGCGCGCTGCGGCGGGAAGCTGTGCGTGGCCGTTGCTGACATGGCATTCTCGCTCTATTCCGCAAAGTACCAGCTCAACTTCACTCGTGCCGTTGGACCTCGCATCGCGGCGAACCTCGTTGCTGGCAATAAGGGTCAGAAGGGAGGAAATTTCCTCGTGAGCTTTTACGGTCCCGGAAAGGCCGCTGTCAGTGACATGAATTCCGTCACTCCGGATCCCAACGCCATTATCGAGGTTCTTAAAGACCCCCCCGCGCATTACCTGAATGTTTCCACCAACGGGCAGCCGTCGGGAGCGCTTCGCGGGCAGCTGTCGGACTCGCTGACGGTTTTCGCCGTGCTGTACGGTTACCAGGTGCAGCCGCCGTCGGGAGTTTCGGGAACGGGCGTGTTTCTCGCACAGATCGGCGGCGGAGGCATCTGCTACGAGTTCCAGTTTCTCAACGTGCCGGTCCAGCCGACGTACGCGTATCTGCACCGCGCCACGTACTCTTCCCGCGGCCCGATCGTGCTGTCGACGACCCTCGAGATTAGCGACAAGATGAAGTGCTTGCAAGCGGACACGGAGCAGACGGGGTCGATTATTACTAAGGCGGGAGAGTACTACGTGCAGGTGTACACGGAGAAGTTCAACAAGGGGCTGCTGCGCGGGCAGCTCTATGTCGCGCCCGTGCAGGTTGTGTAACTGGGTAACCCTGGTTTCGCATTCACAGCCGGGATTGACAGTAGGGTTAGCAGTGTGGAGGGGAAAACACAGGTCTTAGGGTGGATGGTGGCACATTGAATGGGAGAGGGTGACGGCCGGGCTGACCCCCTAGCACGGTATACCCGTGATAAGCACGCGAGGCTAATAGATTCTGTCTTTATACACCGTCAGGTTAATCTAGGCTCATTTAGTGAGACTAGGGATAATAATAATTATTGTGTAGCATGTCAATTATATATGAACATTTCAATCTTTACTGGGGTTTACACACCATTCTTGCATACTGGGAACAGAAGTGACCTGACATGGTAAAATTTTCGTGCTGGGGGCAAGCCTCGAGGTAGAGCTTTCAGGCATCAGTTATACAGGGTTGCCCTTGAGATCCTTGGGGAAGGTCTACAGGCCTTCTCTGCCTGGGGGGTTGTGGGTGCACTGGCACGCCCTTAGTGACTGAGCTCTGACACATATAAATGGGCTACATTATGTACATTAAGTGCATGACACCAAGAAATGGGACAGAGAGAACAACTACCGTACATGCTTTGCATTAGCAAATTCCAAGTCACCCTTGTATCAAATCTTCGCCTGGAGATCCTTCTCTGTTGTGTGAACCCTGTAGAAGAGCTCCGGCACTACAGGCTCATCTGACTTTGTGCGCAGGCGATGCCACACCAACCGTTCGACTGCTGCCAGCAGCGCCCTCTCATGCCTGCTGCTCCTGCTGCTGCTGCTGCTGCTGCTGCTGTTGCTGCTGCTGCGTGTGCTGCTAGTGTTCTTGCTGTTGCCAGAGCGCCTGTGACTGTCAATACCGGTACCATCTGCAATGTTAGTACACCCCTGCAATCCGCTCTTCACCCCTACACGTTCCTGGCCAAACGGCCTACCATTCCGTACCTGCTCCTCTTCTTTTCCTGCAGTGGCAGCAGCTGCGTCTGCATGTCTCCAACCTGTGCTATTAGTCCATACACCAGTACCAAAACCAGCTGCTCTCACATCCAGATGCCCACTCCAGAAGGCTCTTCCCCCGCCTTCCCTGCTTCCCCAGCCTCCTAGCACTTTGCCCCTGTTGCCGCCATGCACTGCCTTGAGTGTGCTCCCGTTCCCTTCTGGCTTTACGCACTCCGGAGCAGCAGACTCGCATGCAGCATTGCCGGCAGAAGCATCCGCAACAGGACCAGCTTTACCACCCGCAGCACCAGCATCAGTAGCAGCAGCAGCCGCAGCAGCAGCTGAGGACAGAGCGGCTGAAGCAGCAGGAGGAGATTCTCCAACTTCATCGTCCAGGCTTAGACAGCTGTCATGGCTGCGTTGACTGCCTCTATCATGGCTTCTGCTTCTGCTTCTGCTCCTGCCGATTCTGCTACTGTTTCTGTAGCCACCGCTACTCGCTGCAGTGGCGTTGCTTGTAACGAGCACACTTTTACCGCCAGCATCAATCTCCTCCCTTTCTTCTCCCACCTCTGCTTTCAACTCTCTCGCCCTTTGGCTACTATCACCAACACAACCAGCTAGCGGTTTATCATCTCCGCTACAATTACTCTTGTTGGAGTCACTGCTGGTAGAGACACTCCGGTGAAAGCTACCCTTTCTTGTCCTGCGGCGAACTATAAACCCTTCTTCCCGGAACGCTTCATCCTCCTCATCCTCCTCCTCGCTCGCGCTTCTACTTCTCCCCCCCCTCCGCAAATAACGCGAATCGCAATCGTCCCCCATGTCCCGCCGGTTCCCTCCGTGATCCCCGCCGACCGCCAGAAACCCGCCGCCCCCCACCTCCTCCTCCTCGCCCACCTCCCCGACCACCTTCTCCTGCCACTCCAGCAGCAGCAGCGGCGTTTGCGGGCGGGGCCCATCGAACTCGCCCGCTCCGCTCAACTCGCCGCTCACGCCGGCGGCATCGAAAGCGTCAGAGCTGTCTCGCGTGGACGAGAGGCCGCAGCCCTCGTCGCAGCACGACAGAGAGAGCGAGCACGGGGAGGAGCAGGAGGAGGTGGCGTACGGCGGCGGAACGGATCGGCGGAAAATGGGCGCAGACAAGGGGATGATCGGGGAAGCGGAAGCGGAAGCGGAAGCGGACGACGACGGTACCCACTCGACTGGAAACTCCTCCCCGCACCCCTGCCCGCACCTCTCCGCGCACCCTTCCGCCGAAGTAGATCCCGGCGCGGAAGCCCCCGTCCTTTCCAGCCCCCCCATCTTTCCGCTTGTCCGCGCGCCACCTGTACTGCAGCGTGCGTCGCCACAAGATCGATCGCAGCGTGCTTGATCATATCCATGGTCATAGTCTTCGTGCTCTCGGCCACGCGTATCCCCGTCACCGTCGCCGCCGTCAACTACCGCCATGCATGCCGGCTCCCCGTCACAGCAACGCTTGTGACCGTCCCGGTTTCCGTCGCGGTCGCAGTTGTTGCGCCGGCGGAATCGGCTCGACTGGGCCTGCCCCTGCCGGGTCGCGTTGGACTCTGCGGCGTGAGCGAAGAGGTTGCGGAGGTCGTTCTTGAGCACGTGCGGCCTCGTGCTGAGCACGTGCCTCGCGGCTTTAGTTGAGTTAGCACCCATACCGCGCGCACCCACGCTGACTGCTTCAACTGAATTGAATTCTTAAAGCGAATAATCTACTCCTCTAGTCCAATTGCCTGGTGACAGAAGAATTGTCTACACTTGACGGAGCAGATGTTCCCAACCACATGGAATCGTCGGCTCAAACTAGATCTCCCTAGTCTGAAATCCAGAAGTCGCGAGCTCTTGTTGAGCTGGCAGACTGTTACTGACAGAGGCGCGTGTGAAGCAACTTTCCCTTACAAGCGAGTAGAACTTCCAGACATAGGCTCAAGGAAGCAAACACACGCACCATAAGACGACTCTTGGACTAAGTGGGTGGGCGTAGGGTGGGAGGGATGGTGTCAAGAGTTTCTGCGACAAACAGGAGAAACAGAAAACCACGGCAGATTCTGCTCGTAAACAGTGCTCTTCCCCAGGTATGGTTCGGTTACCTGCCGGATTCTCGAAACCCAACCACAATGTTGACGACATTCTCGGGGCTGCGAAATTCCCTGACCCGTGGCGAGAAGAACATGTGGGTGACTTCGTTCAGCGAAACCGTCGCGACACCGTGCTGGCACTGATAAATCGCCCTTGCCCTTCCTTTCCTTTCCTTTCCAGTCAGGCTTTGGCGAAAAGAGCGGAATCAGCCGCAAGCGCGCAACTTTCGCGCGCACAGGCGGATCGGCTCAGTCCCGATCTGAGCGTTCCCGATCTGAGCAACCTCGCATTGACGTACGAAATCCATTGTTACATTCTGCGACAGTCGAAAGCATGGTTACATATTGCGAATCCATGCGACCATCAGACGAACAAAATGTGGAGCTTGGCGAAGAAGCGAGGTCAGACTTGGTTGGTGGAAGCAGTTGGTCCAAGGAATTATGGGGAGGCAATCCCAGGGGCGACACGTTCGGAAGGTGTTTCAGTTTCCCCCGCCAGGAGAAACCAGCCAGCCGCTCAACCAGAGCCGCCAGGACGAGGCGCCCCCCCCGCCCCAGCCGGCAGCGCGGGGTCAGACATCCCGCACCGACGACTCTTGTCTGGGGGGCGCAGCAATTTGGCGCGCAAAGGTGCCAGACTCAAGGAGCAACTGGCGTCAGCTGAAACGGTGTCTTTTGCCAACTGCAGAGTGGTCCTGCTGATGCTGTCATGAGCTTGGATTGGTCGAGAGAGAGGTGAAATTCCCTGCCATCACCGCCACCACGGATCGGAAGTTGACGCAACCTGAACGACAGGTGAGCTGGCGTGTCCCACAACGCGAACCGATGAACATGGTCTGACCGACCTGTTAGGCGGCGTGTTTGACGCATCGGAGGATGATCTGGCGATTCAGGCCGTGATCGACAAGCATCGCTATCCATATGCCGCGACGCAGGGCAGCTGTGGAGAAATCCTTGCCATGAGCCCACTTAATACGGCCACAACGATTGACATAATAGAACTGATACAGCCATTCAACTCAATCATACAATTCATGTGCAACCACTGAACCTAGAACAGCCAATCTAAGAACCTCTTCACGATTATCCATGCCCTTCCAAAAATGCCGAACCATGCGCCCATCGGGCCCAGTGAGTTCCAGAAAAGGAACGATTACCATGTTCTTACGATAGAAGGTAGCCAGCCGAGCAAGGCGACGCTGCTCCCATGGGTGTTGCCATAGAAACTCACTTTCCTCTTGCTCCCTGTACCACACGCGCAAAGCCTGAGAAGGTAGACAAGGAGGATGTGAGGAATCAGGAAGGGCCTGGATGTCAATGCGTCATAACATGCTTCATATTCTAGCACAACGGTGCAACACATTCTGACAAATATTGGTGCATTCCTGCTGCCCATCCGCACCACACCAGTCTAGCCGGTATGGCCCCACGTAATTTGTCAGTGGTTTGGAACGGCACAAAAAGGGGCCAAAGTAGTCGATTCGATATACTCAACACGACCAACTTAAAAAACACAGGCCTAGCACTCACCTCAATAGCTGCAGCGGAGCGTCTCCAAAGGGAGACGCCAGCGTTGATAAACTCAAGGTCCGGGTTGAAAAGCGCCTCGGCTCGCGCATGCGGGTACTGCGAGTAACGGTCGTCCACGTTGCGCGGGAAGAGGGCAAAGACTGCATCCTTGTCACCATCATCAGGCAGCAGGAGCGTGGCAGGGTCGCGGGGGAAATGGGTCTGGTTCACAAGACTAGCCCCGTAGTCTTTGGGTATCCAGTCAAAGTAACCCTGCATGAAAAAAGAACGAAGAGAAAAGAAAAGTCGGGATGGGTTGGCTTTCAGCGGCACGTGTCTGAGTGGGGAGGTAGGAGGAATGGAAGGTATATCGAGTTGCAGTTTCCGATTGATTGGAGCAGTTTCTGACTGGTTTAAGAGGAGCGGGGCAAAGGCAGACAGCAGACAGCTTCCGTAACGTTTCTTGGCAACCAAATGAAAGAGGCGACAACACAAGGTGACAAAAGGAGGTGACTAAAGGAGGTGACAAAAGGAGGTGACAAAAGGAGGTGACAAAAGGAGGTGACAAAAGGAGGTGACAAAAGGCCCGCAGAGAGAACCCATATGAGCGGCACGGACATCGATCTGCAGCTGGGAAAGCCAAGACTCCATGGAGAGCTGGTGGGTGCTTTGAGACATCTCAAAACACGCTTCTTGGCAACCAACTACCGTCTGGAAAGGGTGACAGAAGGCATGCTGAGTACCCATCATGTCTACATGACAGGCACTGACATCGATTTGCAGCTGGGAGAGCCACGACTCCACGGAGAGCTGGTGGGTGCTGAAGCGGAAGTAGGCGTCCGAGTCGATGCAGAACGCCCACTGGCAGCAGCACGTGAGCTGCTCCTGAATGAAGAGCACCTGGGGAGAAGGGGAGAAGGGGAGTAAGGGAGTAGGGGGAGGGGTATGTATGGATCTATGGAGTCAATGCAGAACGCCCACTGGCAGCAGCACGTGAGCTGCTCCTGGATGAAGAGCGCCTGGGGAGTAAGGGGTGGGGGGGTGTCAAAGGAGGAGGGGTACGTATGCATGGAGTCAATTGGTGTCGGAGTCAATGCAGGGGATCAACCGGCAGCAGCACATGAGCTGCTCCTGTATGTATGAAGAGCACCTAGGGGGCAAGAATGTTTGGAAGGGGGGGCGGTTTGGGGTGTTGACGAGTGGTGGAAGGAGGAGGGGTATGGACGGATGGAGTCATGAAGAGAATAGGCATGCTGAGATGGTGGGTGGAACCCCAATCTGCAATGCAAGACGGCCATAGGAGAACGGGAATGAGGCGTAGGGGGGAATTGAATGACAAGACTGGACAGGTGCACGGGACGCACGGGACGGAGACACCGGTGCGTAGGAAGATACCTTGAACCAGGAAGGGTGGCGGTCTTGCTGGTACCGTGAGGGGTCCATGGCAACAAATCGATACCCGTGCTTGCGCGCATATGCCCTGAAGGGAGAGAGGGAAGGGCAGAGAGGGGAGGGAAGAGAGGGAAGGGGAGAGAGGGAAGGGCAGAGAGGGGAGGGGAGAGAGGGAAGGGGAGAGAGGGAAGGGCAGAGAGGGGAGGGGAGAGAGGGAAGGGGAGAGAGGGAAGGGCAGAGAGGGGAGGGGAGAGAGGGAAGGGGAGAGAGGGAAGGGCAGAGAGGGGAGGGGAGAGAGGGAAGGGGAGAGAGGGAAGGGCAGAGAGGGGAGGGCAGAGAGGGAAGGGGAGAGAGGGAAGGGGAGGAAAGAATAGGAAAGAGGCTGAGCACCTGAGCCATGATCTTCCCCTGTTTTTGACACCAGCGCACAGACTCATAGAAAGGAGAAGCATGCAGAATCGGCATGCGCTGTGCAGGTGAATCGTCATAACTCTCGAGATTCACCTGAAGGGTGCAGAACCCGTGTGGTCTATGGGCCTATGGTGTGAGTGAGTGAGAGCACTGAAGAGCCAGCCAGCGGCATGCAAGCAAGCTCATGTGTTGTGCACATGTATGTCTGGACCGGGCCTGAGAGTGTTGAAGCCACTATGGGCCTATGGTGTGAAGCCATGTGGGAACTTACTGGGCTTGATGAAAGCTCGAGAACAGCAAAGGAGAAGGCACTCAGTAGCCTGGACTAGAGGCCTTGTCTCATGCATCTGTCCCTGGAGCGTAGACGCTCCGTTCTCGCCCCTTTCCTCTTACTGCGCACCTGTTGACGATCTTGGACGCAGCCCAGTACGGCATGTTCTCCCCGTTCTCCTCCATATAATTGTGCGGGTAAGAATCCGAGCCATCCGAGGAGGAGGAGGAATCGGAGGAGGCAGAGGAGGACACGGGCCAGGGACCGGTTATGTGGGAGGCATTGAGGGTGCGATCGTCCACGTATAGAATGCAGCCCGGCAGGGGACGGGACTCGTACTCTGTGGCACGCCATGATTGCATGCCATGCCATGCCATGCCATGCCATGCCATGCCATGCCATGCCGTGCCATGCCACGCATGGCAGGTGAGAAAAGAATGGAGGGAGGGATGAGGAAAGGGGAGAGAGGAATGAGGGAGGTACTTAGGAAGGGGGACAGGGGCCTAGGAAGGGGGACAGGGGCCTAGGAAGGGGGACAGGTTCCTAGGAAGGTGGACAGGGGGCTTTGATAGAAAAAGTTCAGCATAGAAGCGAGAGGCATTCAATGCAGCAAAAGGCAACACAGACGTGCCAGGTAGGAAGCGGCAGAAATGGTTAAGAACGCGGGGAGATCACCGACCTAGGTAGCAGCAGCATGCAGGGTTAAAAAGGAAGAACACAACGCACTGAGACTGGTAGGGATTTCCTTCCAGCTTTATGGCTGGCCGCAGATTAGCAGCACAACAAGAGGACTGGCACTGGCACTGGCACTGGCACTGGCACTGGCTTGCAAGTTCACCCACCTTTGAGGCTTGCTGTGAGTCGGGTTATTTCACGCAGTGTGGCGCTGCTGCTCTCCGCTGCTGACGCTGCCAGTACCCGCACTTGCTCCTGGGAACAGGCCCCATCCCCACCCCACCGTGCAGCACCATGCAGCACCATGCAGCACTCCCACCCATCACAGCAGCACGCACAGGAGCAGGTAGGTTCATGAGGACAAGTGTGTAGATGTCATGAGCGAAAAAGGGGAAAAGCGGGGGGGGGAGGAGAGGGAGAACTTGAAGGGACCATGGATTGGGGGGGGTGGGGGCGGGGTGGTGGGGGGGAGGATTTCGAGGATTTCGACCAGGAAGGGAAGGGGAGGGAAAGGGGGGGGAAGGGGAGGGGAAGGGGGGGAGGTGGGGGGGGGGGGAATCAGGGGAAGGAAGGAATGGAGGAGGAAAAGTACCTGTGCTAGCATATCCATCCAGCAGTGCACGATAACCGCCACTGCCACCGCGCCTGCCACCATCGCAGTCGCCACTGCCGCTGATCTGCCTCTCCCCCACCAGGTTCGCCGCAACGATGAGTCCGCTGCTCCCGATCTGCCTCCCATGCTCATGCCCACCCCCCATCCTGTCCACGCTCCCCATGTCCATCGTAATCTCTTGGAATCTTCCCCACAACCTCGCCCTACTACACGCGCCACCGAGTCGCGGAATCTCGACACGATCCCGCGGATTCCGCCGCTGAACGCGGCGCTGATGGCCGCGTAGGCCGCGTCGCCGGCGGACCTTCTGGTGCGATTCGTAGTGCGGCGTCTACCACACGATTTGGACGCTGACGGGTTTTCTGGAGTGGAGCGCACGGATTGCATGGCTGCTGTAATCCGACACAGCAGGCCGATGCGTGTCGCAAAGATACTATGCGTGCTCTCTGCAATGCGGCGTTATCTCCGGCGCGTTCTCGGACCGCTAATATTCTCCTTCGATTACCTCGGACCGCTAATATTCTTCTTAAATTACCGATCTTGATCAGGAAAGCTCGTTCGATTGTTCGTAGAAAGCTGTTCAGTGGATTTCCCTATGCCCTGCTACCTCGAGCACTACCGATTGCCATCTTTGCGCGGACGAGAAAGCTGTCGACTTTCCGCGGCCACGACGAATGGGAGGCCAGGATTCTTGGGTTGGAATGAAATTCGGCAATCTCAAGAAAAGAGTCGGTTTCAACTTTCAGACAAGTTTCAGTTTGATGTGCTTTGGGCTTTCCAGGCAATCAAACAGGAGTCTGGGAGAAACGTCGCAATAGTGCACGGTCCTTTGGTTTTTTAAGGCTTACGGTACGGTTAAGTGGGGAGACTTGCTTTGAATCCCCCAGAGTTACGACTTATGGCAGTGGTGGAGTTGGTTCTACGACAGGTTGTTTCTGGGTGCGGCGGAAACGACACCACCTAAGTTCTCCGATTTCGAATGCTCCGTGTTACGTAGAAAGTGCACTCCAGCTCCAAAAGTCTGATGTACACCTCCTCAAATGGGAAGGGTTTTCTAGTGATTTGTTTTTTTTCGACAACACTCTCTGCTGTATCCTGCCGTTTCTTTCAGAGAACCCCCCAGCTTCCCCCACACCCCTCCCACCCCCAGCGCATTCCCCTTGTCCCTCCGCCCGGAGTTCCCCCGCACGCACACTTCCGCAGAATCTCCCCTCTCCCCTCGCCACCCCGCGGAGGCTGACATCCCCCACATGTCCAGACATGCGCCAAGAGTAGGTCTGCTTCACCGCTTTGAAACTTGTGGAACCGTATTGGACCTGTACAAACTGTACGGGACACGTGCTCTTGCAGCCCCGGTACCACGACAACTTCGTCCTACAAAGCACTTCTTGAATTTGGTGGTACCCTACCCCACACACCATACATGCGCCCCGTTTTAAGTAGCGCTCTACCCTGTTCCGATGACCGCCACGTTGATCATTGGATAAGTTTCGTCCTATGGTAGTGTTGTTCATCTCACGAGCGGCTGGTTGATTGCCGTTCTTCGCGACAGTCTAAGCAAGAAGCTGCGTAGGAAAAGGAGATTCGTCCTTATCTACACAAAATCGAGTTCACAGAAGCGGCGCTTGGCTTCCCAAGCTTTCCTCCCTCCCTCCTTCCATCCTCCCTCCGGTCGTACCCCTCGCGGGGCTCGAACCCACGACCTCCACCGCTCGTCCGTCCTATTACCCCAGCAGGCAGAGCGGCTCCCATGGGGGGCCAAAACGAGGAATCCGGGGAAGCAAATACTCGAGAAGGCGCGGCGCAAGCGACGCGCAGTAGTTTTGGAACTAGTGACGCAATCGCTGGCGTACCTAGCCACCTTAGCGACGCGCATCTCATTGGCGGCGTTGGCGGCGTTGGCGGAGGCATGGATGCAGGCGGAACGGGAGGAGCTGGCGGAGGGAGCGGGAGGGGGGAGGGGGGAGGAGATGGGGTACGAGGGGCGTTGGATGACGTGGCACTTGCAGGGCATCCTGACGACCCGCTCTCGTGGTCCGTGGAGGTGAGGAGAGTGAGGAGAGTGAGGAGGAAACTTGTGGCAAGCAGGCTGGGGGGGAGGAGAAGAGAACGAGGAGACGTAGGGGGAGAGGAGTTTGTTCCGCGCCTGTGTGTGTGTTTGAAGTGGCGCACTTGGCAAAATAATGGAGGCCCGTATTTTCTCGCGTTCTGCACTGCACCCCTTGATGTCCCTCCTGCACTGCACGCTTCCATGCGTAACCTTCCCCTCCCCTTGATGTCCCTCCTGCCCCCCCATCTCCTCCCTCCCCCCGCCTCCTCCGTCCCCCCTCCACCCCTAACACCCCCACTACCTTCTCCCACTCATCCCCCCCCCCCCACCCGGTACTGTGTATTCCGCACAGGGCGTGGGCGAGTGGCTGCAGCACGCAGGGCTTTGGCGAGTACCGAGGGGTGTTTGCGGGGGTGTTTACTGGCAGAGCTAGTGCTGTCTTTACCCGCAATCTCTACCCGCCGTCCCCACTCCCCTTTGCCCCCACTCCCCCCCACTCTCCCTCTCCCCCACTCCCGCACCCCCCCGCCCTTCCCACCCGCTCTCGCCTCCCCGCCCCACCCTTCCCCCGCGGTCTTTTCTCCGCAGGGCGTGGGCGAGTGGCTACAGCAGCAGGGCTTTGGGGAGTACCGGGGGGTGTTTGCCGTGCAGCAGATCACCGGGGCCGCGCTGCTCAGGCTGTCCCGCGAGTCATTGGCCGAGCTGGTGCCGTCTCTGGGGCCCAGAATGGCGGTGCTGGACGCCATAGAAAGGCTCCGAGGTGAGTGAGACTGGGGAGTTGGCCTGCTGGTGCTTCTAGTTCTAGAGGATTTACAAGGGTAAGGGCGTTCAGAATCGACTCGGGCCTATTTTTGAGGCGCCTCAGAATAGACTCCTCACGTGGGGGAGTCTGTCTGCTGGTGCTTCGAGGGGATTTACAAGGGTAAGGGCGTTCAGAATCGTCTCGAGTTCTCGTGGAGAAAACGAAGGGTAAGGTGAACGGCGGGGAATGTGGGGGGTGGGGTGAGATGAGGAGGCGTGAGAAAGGGTGTGGTGTTTGTGCAGTGCAGAAGGTCAGTGCGGCCGCGCTGGTGCCGCGCTGCTGGGTTGTCCCGCGAGTCACTGGCCGAGCTGGTGCCGTCTCTGGGGCCCAGAATGGCCGTGCTGGATGGATGGATGCCATTGAGAGGCTCCGAGGTGCGCGGGTGCTTGAGGTGCTTCCCTCTCTCCCTTTGAGACGACTCAAAAGCTCTGCCCTTGTCGCTCCTTCCCTGCTATGCCATTGATCTCAGTCACTTGCTACTTGCCACTTGCTAGCTACTCACTACCTTCCAGCGTCAGCTCCTCCCTCACTCTCCCCTCCCCCAACCCCACCCCACTACCTGCCACGCGCACATCCTTTCTATATAAAATCCATGCGTGAGGAGTATTTTTTTGAGGCGCCTCAAAATTAAACCCCACCCCACTACCTGCCACGCACACATCCTTTTCCTTCTTCCCTCGCCTCACCTGCTTCCCCTCACTCACGCTCTCCTCTCTTCGTACCTCCTTTCCTCTCTGTTCTCTATTCCCCCCTCCCCCCACCCTTTCCCCCCCCCCGCCCCCCCCGTCCCTCCCCCAACACTAGGGTGGAAGGCTGATCCAAGGCATGTGGGGGAGGGGCTAGTCTCGGGCTTGCATGCCTTTGCTGCGAAGTTTGTGCATGGTCTAGATCACTTGCTGGTGGGTGCAGTGTGGTGCCCTGCAGTGCATAGCGGTGCAGTTCTGTGCTGGTGGTAGTGACAGTCATGTTGAATGGTGCTGTTGTTGTGAGGTTGCTTTGTCAAGAAATGAAGACTGCACAATTACTCAGATGTGCAGCATTGATTAAATGTGCACCATGTGTGTGCGTGTGTGTGTGCGCGCGTACGTGCGTGCGTTGTGCATGTGTGTGTGTGTGTGTTTGTATGTGTCTGTGACCTGCAGAATGACCCTATAGAGGGTGCGTCAAAGGAAGGTGTCTCCGGGCTAATGCGCGGTCTCTCCATGGGCATCACTGGGTGAGTGAGCTGCCCCACACGCCCCAGGCGCCCCACACGCCCCAGGCGCCCCACACGCCCCAGGCGCCCCACACGCCCCAGGCGCCCCACATGCCCCACACGCCCAACACGCCCCATGCGCCCCACACACCCCACGCACGCCGCTCACGCCCCACATGCCCAGTGTTTTTTAGAATTCTCAAAAACACCCTGCAAAAACTGAAAGCGAGGCAGGGAAAACCAGATGCGTGCTTTCCAATCCGCATGCTTCGATTCGCTCACTGTTTCCCTTTGCAGGTGTTCTCATCTCACCAACCTTCCCTCCATTTTTGAGGCGCCTCAAAAATCGACTCACCAATCTTCCCTCCATTGCCACCATTTCTTCCACCATCGCCTCCCTTAACACCCCCTTCCCATTTCTTTCGCCATCAAGCACCCAGTGGAGCGCGTTCCGTTCCGCTCCTCCCCCACCAGCTACGACTGTTTGTGGGGGCCTCAAATTACCGTGTTCGGCTCCCCCCCCCGCCTCTCTTCCCCCCCAGCGCCATCAAGCATCCAGTGGAGGGCGTGGCGCTGCTCTCCCAGCAGTTGGGAGACGGCCTTCGTCTCAAAACAAACACGTCCACCACTTACCTGCCCTTTCTTCTGTGCCCCTCTCCCCAGAGCCATCAAGCATCCAGTGGAGGGCGTGGCCCTGCTGTCCCAGCAGCTAGGAGACGGCCTTCGCCGCACCCCCGACGCCCTCTTCGGCCGCTCCCCTGCACTAGAAGACAAGCAGCGCTCCGCCCCCCCCTCCCCTGTAGTCACCCCCACCCCCTCCTCCTCCTCCACCTCTGCCACCTCTTTCCCTGGCTCTTTTCCTACGTCTTTCCCCCATAACGAGGATTCTGTGGGACTGTTATCCCACCCCACCGCTCTGCACCTGGACCCAGCGTTTGGCTCCTCCTCCTCTGTATCCCCCTCTCAAGCTCTGTCCCGTTATAAGAACAGCTCGTCCCCTGCTGCAGCAAAGAAAAAGCTAGGAGCAGGGATGGCGGCGGGGGACGAGAGGGGAGGGGGGGAGGACGAAGGGGGGGGGGCGGGCGGGGGGAGGGTCGTGGGGAAGGGGGAAACGGGGGGGGAGGAGCGGGGGATGTTTTGGAAGGGGCTGCGTTGACAGGGGATGACAGTGGCGGTGGCGGTGGCCGTGGTGGTGGGGGTGGGGGAGGGGGGATGGTAGCAACGAATGCACCGACGATGGTGAGGAGAATAGAGGAAGCAAAGCCGGACTTTCTCAAGGACGAGGGGGATGGGGCGCGGCCGACGCACATAGGCGAGGGCATCCTGGTGGGCATGCGGTGCTTCGGCAGCGACCTGTATGACGGGCTTACAGGGATCGTGGTGAGTGGGGTGGTTTGGAGGTGCTGGAGATAGCAGTGGTGTGTGTGCAAGCAGGGGCAGAGTGTAGTGCAGAGTGTTGGCATGGGGGGTGACTTGGCCTAGGGAGGGGGTCTTGGTGGGGAGGCGGTGCCTTGGCTTGGCTGGATGGTGGGGTGTGGGATGGTGGTGTGCGACCTATCCTTCCCTGCGTATGCATTCGACCTGTGTTGAAGTATGCATTCGACGGATCACATCGCATGCATGCATGCATCCACGCATGTGTCTGTCTTTTACCCATGCATTCATCCACCCGTGCATGCATGCAAGCAGGCATGCATCCATGTGTCTGTCTGCATGCATCCACGGTCCACCCGTGCATGCACGTGCCCATGCAGACAGGGCCAATGACCTTTGAGCCGACTCAAAAGTCACCATGTGCCTGTCTGCACTCATCCACCCGTCCATACCCGCCCATACCCGCCCATACCCGTCCATACCCGTCCATACCCGTCCACACCCATCCATACCCGTCCATACCCTTCCATGCCCGCCCGTGCATGCGTGCCCGTGCTTCCCTGTGCCCATGCAGACAGAGCCAATGAGGGCCATGGCAATGGCAAGGGACAAGGGGTCAGGATCAGCAGCAGTGCCGGCAGCAGTCATGAGAGGGCTAGCCAAGGGCCTCGCAGGGTGAGAGGACTAGCCAAGGGCCTCGCAGGGTGAGAGGACTAGCCAAGGGCCTCGCAGGGTGAGAGGACTAGCCAAGGGCCTCGCAAGGTGAGAGGACTAGCCAAGGGCCTCGCAGGGTGAGAGGACTAGCCAAGGGCCTCGCAGGGTGAGAGGGCTAGCCAAGGGCCTCGCAGGGTGAGAGGACTAGCCAAGGGCCTCGCAGGGTGAGAGGACTAGCCAAGGGCCTCGCAGGGTGAGAGGACTAGCCAAGGGCCTCGCAGGGTGAGAGGACTAGCCAAGGGCCTCGCAGGGTGAGAGGACTAGCCAAGGGCCTCGCAGGGTGAGAGGACTAGCCAAGGGCCTCGCAGGGTGAGAGGCTAGCCAAGGGCCTCGCAGGGTGAGAGGACTAGCCAAGGGCCTCGCAGGGTGAGAGGGCTAGCCAAGGGCCTCGCAGGGTGAGAGGACTAGCCAAGGGCCTCGCAGGGTGAGAGGACTAGCCAAGGGCCTCGCAGGGTGAGAGGACTAGCCAAGGGCCTCGCAGGGTGAGAGGACTAGCCAAGGGCCTCGCAGGGTGAGAGGACTAGCCAAGGGCCTCGCAGGGTGAGAGGACTAGCCAAGGGCCTCGCAGGGTGAGAGGACTAGCCAAGGGCCTCGCAGGGTGAGAGGGCTAGCCAAGGGCCTCGCAGGGTGAGAGGACTAGCCAAGGGCCTCGCAGGGTGAGAGGACTAGCCAAGGGCCTCGCAGGGTGAGAGGACTAGCCAAGGGCCTCGCAGGGTGAGAGGACTAGCCAAGGGCCTCGCAGGGTGAGAGGACTAGCCAAGGGCCTCGCAGGGTGAGAGGACTAGCCAAGGGCCTCGCAGGGTGAGAGGACTAGCCAAGGGCCTCGCAGGGTGAGAGGGCTAGCCAAGGGCCTCGCAGGGTGAGAGGACTAGCCAAGGGCCTCGCAGGGTGAGAGGACTAGCCAAGGGCCTCGCAGGGTGAGAGGACTAGCCAAGGGCCTCGCAGGGTGAGAGGACTAGCCAAGGGCCTCGCAGGGTGAGAGGACTAGCCAAGGGCCTCGCAGGGTGAGAGGACTAGCCAAGGGCCTCGCAGGGTGCATTGCGCCACCTTCTTGCCTCCCTGCAAGAGATCTTTGAGAATTCCCTCAGATTGCCCTTGTTTCATCCAGCACCCTCTTGCCATCCTCTTGTCACGCTCTTTTTCCCTTCTATCCAGTTTGCCCTTCTCTCCGTTTTCTTCCTCACAGATACTCATCTATATGCCTCAAAAACCTGAGGTGTATGTCTATTCCTGACTATCTTTTTGTCGTTGGTGCGGTTTCTTCGTCGCTGCATGTGTCTATCTACCTGGATATTATTACTACCAATGTCATATTCATACGCCTGTATATTGTGTGTGTGCGTGTTTTCGCATGTGTGCACGGGCATGCCTGTGCATGTGGGTTTCTGTGACTGGGCTCGCTCCATCATCCTTCATCTGCTTCGTCTGCAACAACCACCAGTGCGATTTGCAAGGTAGCCTCCATATACCTCCCTAATATATGCAACGTAATGTTCAGTGCCTCTCTCCGTTTGCTTTTCCATCTCTCTCTCTCTCTCTTTATCTGCAGCCCATGGCAGGGGGCTTTGAGCTGGCGCACGCAGCAATGGAGGGAATAATTTTTTAGGCGCCTCAAAAATAGAATCATTTTCCATCTCTCATTGTCCCCGCAATGTGATTTTTGAGTCGACTCAAAAATCGCAATGTGCTCTATCCCTTCTCATTTCCATCTCTCTTTATCTGCAGCCCGTGGCAGGGGGCTTTGAGCTGGCGCATGCAACAGTGGAGGGGATAATTGCCACTCCGCAGACGCTAGCTGCAGCAGCCAGGGACGGGCCGGCCATCCAGGACACACCCACCTACCAGCGCCTTGCTGCACTGCGCCTGCTTCCAGGTGAGGTAGCGGAAGGCGTAGCACTTACTGCAAAGCAATGGAGCCGTTGCAACGTACAACAGTGTCTACCAGCAGGGGAGGGCCCAGGCCGGCCATCCAGGACACACCCACCTACCAGCGCCTTGCCGCGCTGCGCCTGCTGCCTGGTGAGAGAGAGCACACAGTCGAGACCTGAGGCAATGCCACTGTTGTAGTAACTTGCAGCACTGCCAGCAAAGCACGAACTGGCCATGCAGGACACACCCACGTATACACGCCCTGCCATGCTGCGCCTGCTGCCAGGTGAGGGAGAGCACAAGGAGTACTGCTAACCAGCAGGGGAGGGGCCAGGCCGGCCATTCAGGACACGCCCAGCTACTACCAGCGCCTTGCTGCCATCTCTCGCATGGGCCAGGCAGCACAGCACAGGGGAGAGACTGCGTGGGAGTGAATGGGTGATTTTTTAGTCGACTGAATAATCACCAGCGCCTTGCTGCCATTTCTTGCATCGGCCAGGCAGCACAGCACAGCACAGCACAGCACAGCACAGCACAGAGAGACTGGGTGGGAGTGAATGGGAAGCCGGTAAACACGTGCAAGTAACATTTTTGGCTCGCGTTTCTCCCTTGCCCCCTCTTCCCCCGCTCTCCAGCGCCATCTGGAAAGGCCACCTCACGAAGCCGTGTTTTGTTTTCTAGAATTCCCATAGAAAAAACACATCCTGAACATCTTTGGCTCGCGTTTCTCCCTTGTCCCCTCTTCCCCCGCTACCCAGCGCCATCATGAAATGAAAGGCCACCTCACGAAGCCGTGTTTTGTTTTCACAGGAACATGACCCCTGGCCGGCTGCTGCTGTATCCCATATTACTTACTTCTATCCCAATCCCTCTTTCCTTCCCTCCCCTCGCCCCCTCGTACCTACCCCACATGTCCGTCCTATACACCTATTTCCTCTGCCCCCTCATCCCTCCCACCCCTCTCACCTCAGCGCAATCGTCAGAAGCTATCTCTCACATGGCACAGGCAGCGCAGCGCAGCACAGCGCGGCACAGCATGGGAGCATGAGCCCGGCTGCTGCTGTATCCCACATGACCTGCCATGATCTTTAATCCCTCTTTCCTTCCTGCTCTTACCCCGCTCTTCGCCCTCCCGCCCCTCTCGCCGCAGCACAATCGTCAGAAGCCATCTCTCGCATGGGGCAGGCAGTACAGCACAGCACGGGAGCATGAGCCCGGCTGCTGCTGTACCCCACATGACCGTCCTAAACACCTATTTCCTCTGCCCTCTCATCCCTCCCACCTCTTTCCCCAGCGCAATCGTCAGAAGCCATCTCGCGCATGGGGCAGGCAGCACAGCATGGGAGCATGAGCCCGGCTGCTGCAGCGCTGCAGATGAGCGAGCTGAGCCACAGGGGGGAGATGGGCGTGGGGGTGGGCAGGGAGTGAGTGAGGGAGTGAGTGAGTGAGGGAGGGAGTGAGTGAATGAGTGGGAAAGCTAGTCTGTTCTGTAGTTGACAGAAAAGTCGCAGATGAGTGAATGGGCCACCGGGGGAAGATGGCAATGGGTGGGGGGAGGGGGACAGGCATGGGCATGGGCATGCATGCACATGGGCATGGGCATGGGCACGGTGGAGTGATTGATGGGGTGAGCGGGTAAGAGCCTGGTCAAATGCAGTGGTGTTCATTTCAACTGGTGAAGTGAGGAGCTCCTCCTGTCCAAGCGCAACACCAAGTGACTGTTGAGTCGACTCAAAAGTCACCTCGTAAGAGCCTGGTCAAAGGCAGTGGTGTTCGTTTCAACTGGTCAAGTGAAGGGCTCCTCTCCAAGCGCAACACAAACATATCCACTTCGTTACAGTTCTTGTAACCGTACTTGGTTTGCTATGTACATCTGTTCACTTTCGGTTGGATACATCTACATTACAGGGGGTGAAAATAAGTGGATGACGAGATGTCATTAGGTCCTCTCCAATCAAATCCTTTCGTGTGCACTGAGGGGGGCAGGGAGGAGTGCTTTGAAGCAGCCTTGATTTCAGTACAGTCGAAGTCAGGTTCTCCTTTCTTTGCCGGGTTGTGGTTGTCAGAAACTAGCTTAGCTAGGAAGCCATAGAATGGCACAAGGTTTAGCTAGGAGCTAGGAGGAGCCATGAGAATGGCGAGAGGTTTTAGGTGCTAGGAAAGTTGAGGAGAGAAAAGATGTTGGATTAGAAGAGAGGGGAGTACAAGGAGGGGTTTGTACCCCCTACAGAAAGGTTCAGTAACAACCTACCAAGCCTATATTAAATTATAACTTATATAATTTGAACACACCCCCTAGGCTTGGTAGTCACATGCCCACACACACCCACACCCCCTAACCTAGCACCCCCATTCCAGCCACAGTGACAGCGACTCTAGGGCGGTCGACCCCACGGCGCGTGAGGCGGCGACGTCGACCGCAGGGGCTGCGGCGGCGACGGCAGCAGCGGCGGCAGTGTCGACAGCGGCAGCGGCGGCGGCGTGCGGCTGCGTGGCCCCGACGCAAGCGGCGACAGCGGCGGCGGCGGCGGCTTCGACAACAGCGGCAGCGGCGGCGGCACCCGCACCTCTCGGCGACGTGGCCAGGCCCCGCGACGGTGGGACGGCCGGCGGGAGTCAGCCGTCGTCTGCGGAATGGAAGAGGGCACAAGGGAAGGAGGGGGGTGGGGGGGGGGGGCGCCACAGGCTGACATGCGGGCGGCCGGTCTAGCGGCGCCACAAGCGTCACGCGGCCGGCTGCAGCCCGACGACGCCGTCATGGAGCGGCGTCGATGCCGCAGCGGGGCGTCGACGTTGCGACGGCAACACGACGTCGCCGTTACGCCGACCGCGCGCTGTCGCGTAGACGCCGCGGCAGCGTGACGGCGCCGTCACGTCGCGACAGCATCTTGACGCGACGGCGGAGCTGCGGCACGACGGCGCGGCCACAGCAGCTGGACGCGGGCGCCATGGACGTCGACGGCGGCGCCGCGGCACGACGACGCGGCCACAGCAGCTTGACGCGGCCGCCATGGCAGCGCGAGATAGAGAGAGAAACGAGCACGCAGCGGAAACGCGAGGAGCAGGCCCACGCGGAACGAACTGCTCTGATACCATGTCAGAAACTAGCTTAGCTAGGAAGCCATAGAATGGCACAAGGTTTAGCTAGGAGCTAGGAGGAGCCATGAGAATGGCGAGAGGTTTTAGGTGCTAGGAAAGTTGAGGAGAGAAAAGATGTTGGATTAGAAGAGAGGGGAGTACAAGGAGGGGTTTGTACCCCCTACAGAAAGGTTCAGTAACAACCTACCAAGCCTATATTAAATTATAACTTATATAATTTGAACAGTGGTCAGCATAAATCAGACACTAAACTACCCAGTAGTTGCACTTTTATCAGGAGTACAAATCGAGGAGTATTTACCCTACTCTACACAGGTTGTGGTCTGCTGAACTGACCAGCTTGCCATAGCCCCAGACATGCTCTTGTCAAAGCGAATGCCATGATGTACAGTATGTCAAACATGTGTATTTGTTATGTTTGCATAGACTGTATAGGGTCATCTCTTAGAGGGTACAATACTTTGGTATATCTATCTGTACTCTCCCTCTATCCTATTATTCACTTCTCTAATTTTGATATGGTATCACGCGTATGTTAGGATCCCCCCACCTACCGCTTCCGCTCGTCCCCTAGCTAGGCCCCGCCGTGCCTCCCCCCTTGCCCCGTCGCGACCTCCTGGGCCTCGTCGTGCCCCTAGCCCTGCCGCGCCCCTCCTGGGCCCCGTCGCGACCCCCTAGCCCTCGTCGCGACCCCCTGGGCCCCGTCGCGACCCCCCAGCCCCGTCATGACCTCCTAGCCCCGTTGCGACCCTCCCGGGCCTTGCTGCGCCCCTCGCCCCGTAGTGCCCCTCCTGGGACCCGTAGCGCCCCTCCTGGGCCCCGTCGCGCCCCTCCTGGGCCCCTCCTGGGCTCCGTAGTGCCCCTCCTGGGCCCCGTCGCGCCCCTCCTGGGCCCCTCCTGGGCCCCGTAGTGCCCCCCCCTGGGCCCCGTAGCGCCCCTCCTGGGCCCCGTAGCGCCCCTCCTGGGCCCCGTCGCACCCCGCCTCGGCCCCTCCTGGGCCCCGTAGTGCCCCTCCCGGGCCGCATCACGCCCCTCCTGGGCCCCGTAGCGCCCCTCCTGGGCCCCGTCGCGCCCCGCCTCGGCCCCTCCTGGGCCCCGTAGTGCCCCTCCAGGGCCGCGTCACGCCCCTCCTGGGCCCCGTAGCGCCCCTCCTGGGCCCCGTCCAGCCTTCAGGCCCCGTCGCGCCCTGCCCGGCCCTGTCGCGCCCTGCCCGGCCCCGTCGCACCTGACCGGCCCCGTCGCGCCCGCCCGGCCCCGTCGCACCCGCCCCCGGCCCCGTCGCACCTGCCCGGCCCCGTCGCACCGGCCCGACCCCGTCGCACCTGCCCGGCCCCGTCGCGCCCGCCCGGCCCAGTCGCACCCGCCCGGCCCCGTCGCACCGGACCGGCCCCGTTGCACCTGCTCGGCCCCGTCGCACCGGCCCGGCCCCGTCGCGCCTGCCCGGCCCCGTCGCGCCCGCCCGGCCCCGTCGCACCCGCCCGGCCCCGTCGCACCGGCCCGGCCCCGTCGCACCCGCCCGGCCCCGTCGCACCCGCCCGGCCCCGTTGCGCCCTGCCCGGCCCCTGCGCTCATCCCTGCCCCGGCCCCTTCCTCCTCACTGGTACGGTCTCCCCCCCCCCCCCCCCCTCCCTGCACTGCCCTGCACCGCACTGCACAGCCCTGCACCGCCCCGCACCGCCCTGCACTGCCCTGCCCCGCGCTGCACCGCCCTGCACTGCTCTGCTTTGCACTGCCCTCCACTGCACCGTCCTGTCCCGTCCTGCCCTGCCCCTGATGGCGGCGGAGCTTCGCTTCGACGCTGAAGGCCAGCCTCTGGAGTTCGAGGCGTGGCTTGCCGACCTCCGGCGCCAACTCACTGGCCAGCGGCAGGATGGTGAACCGCTTTCCGCACACCTTGACGGTACGGTCCCCTGCCCAGACCCCCCTGCTATTCTGCCCGCTGACTCCACACCCACTGAGCGCGAGTCTACTGATGCCACTGCCCGTGCACGCTCTGTGTGGCTTTCTCGCGATGCTGTCGCCCAGCTTGCCATTAGCAACGCCCTTCCCCCGTCCGAGCGCCCTCGCTTTAGGTCCCTCACTACTGCTCAGGCATACTTAGATGCTGTCATCAAGCGCAATTCCACCCCTCCGGCTGCCTCGGTGGGTCGCCTGATCCTCCCGATGCTCTTTCCTGACCTTGCATCTTTCCCCACTGTCTCTGACCTCGCTGCCCACCTGCGCTCGATAGATGAGACCTGGCGCGCTGCCTGCACTGACGCACAGCTTAGAGCCCACCAGTCGCCCATTACCTCTACCCTTTACCTGCTTGCCACCCGCCTCCCTGACCGCCTTGCTGTCGCCCACGATCGCTTCCTCAGCATTCACTCCGCAGACCTCACCCTCACTGACTTTGTCGACACCCTGACTGTGATTGAGACCCGCCACCGCTCCATCGCCCAGGCGAGCGGTACCGTGCCGGTCCCTATCTTTCAGGGTTGTGCCCCCGCTCAGTGTACCTTCTCCGACGGCTCTGCCGCTGTGGCTGAGACTGCTGCTGCAGCGCAGTTTCGTTCGGGGAAGGGCCGCCGCCCCAAGGTTGGGCGCGGCGGAGGAGGCGGGGGTGCTGGAGGGGGTGGTGGTGGAGTCGGGTCGTCTGGTGCTGGAGCGAACGAGGGTACCCTGCCCAGTCCAGCTGAGCCGCTGCCCCTGCAGTCGCAGCAGCAGCAGCCGCAGCAGCCGCCGCAGTCGCAGCACCTGCAGCCTTCGCAGCAGCCGCCGCAGCCGAGGCAGACGATTGTCCTCCCGCCCAGGTGGCCCGGCGCTGGCGGTGGTCGGGCGCGTGGTGGTGTACCGAGTGGTGGTTCCGGGGGCGTGCGTTGTCAGTACCAGATCCAGACCGGTCCTCGCCGCGGCCTCGTTTGCGGTAAGATCGGTCATTCCACTCCCTGCTGTTTTCGTCGCCTGGACGACCTGTTCCGTCAGCGCTTCGGCCCGTCGCCAGACCTCCCGGACTGGCACAGCATGCTTAGACGTAGTATTCCGATTTTGGACTTGGACATGGATGCCATTGTTGCTGCTCTGCATGTGATGTATGCTGATGACTCTAGTGTGCTTCCCGCTTATTACTCACTGTCATCTAGTGTAGGTGTGCCTAGCTTAGCCTCCCCTGCTGCGTCAAGCGTAGGATCCCCTGCTTTGTTTAGTCTTGGTGCTTCCGCCGTCGACTCCACGCCAGACGCCTCTGCTTCGCTTTCCTTCACCTTGGACTCTGGCGCTTCCCGGTGCTTCTTCCGCGACTCCACTACACTGACGTCGCTTCCTGTTCCTGCTGCCGTTTCTCTTGCTGACCCCTCCGGTGGTCCGGTAGTCGCCAGCAGTTCCACCACCCTTCCCTGTCCGGCGGTTCCTTCGGGCTCTCTCACAGGTCTGCATATCCCCTCGTTCTCCAGGAACCTAGTTGGTGTCGGCTGCCTCCAGGACCTTGGCGTCACCACTACGTTCCCTGGTCACGAGCGGTATGCTGTCTGTACCGAGGCCGCCACTGGTGCCCCCCTGTCCACGTTCCCCCGGGACCCGGTGTCCGGCCTGTTCACTCTGGACACCGTGACCCCCCCGGCTGGAGCGCTCCCCCAGGTTGCTGCTGCCTGCTCCTGTCGGTCCCTCACTCACCCGACTCTCCTTTGGCACCACCGCCTAGGTCACCCTGCGCTCCCGCGTCTGCGTCACATGTCCCAGCACGGTCTTGTCCTTGGTCTCCCAGGTTCTCTCCCCGAGTTTCCCTCCTCCCCAGCCCCACCTTGCACGCCTTGCGTCGAGGGTCGGCTTCGACGTGCCCCTCACTCCTCCTCGTTTCCCCCTACCGCCGCGCCGCTGCAGACCCTGCACCTGGACGTCTGGGGCCCCACTCCCGTCCCTGGGCCGCGTCAAGAGCGCTACTTCCTTGTCCTTGTCGACGACTTCACTCGTTACACCACAGTCTTTCCCCTGGAGCGCAAGGCCGACGTGCCTGGCGCTCTCATCCCCTGGCTTGTCTCTGCGCGTGTCCACCGCGGTCTCCCTGTCTTGCGTCTTCACTCAGACCGTGGTGGCGAGTTTGCCTCTGGTGTCCTTGGTCGCTTTTGTCGTGCGGAGGGCATCACCCAGACGTTCACCCTATCGGACTCCCCACAGCAGAATGGGGTCGCTGAGCGACGCATCGGTTTGGTCATGGAGGTGGCTCGCACCTCCATGATCCATGCCGGTGCACCCCATTTTCTGTGGCCGTTCGCTGTGCGCTACGCTTCTCACCAGCTTAACTTGTGGCCGCACCCTCAGCAGCCGCAGGTTTCGCCGACCCGTCTTTGGACTGGATCTCCTCGTGACGCGTCTGCGTTCCACGTCTGGGGCTGCCTTGCTCACGTCCGTGCCTCTGGCACGGACAAGCTCACTGCCCGCACCCTTCCCTGCGTCTTCCTCGGTTTTCCCCTTGACGCGTCCGACTGGCACTTTTACCATCCGCCGTCTCACCGCTTCTTTCACTCTCGCGACGTCACCTTTGACGAGTCCGTCTCCTTCTACCGTCGCTTCACTCACCGCGGTCCCCCAGTTACCCCCCCCCTGTTCCTGGTCACTCCTTCCCCGGTAGTCCCTGCCCCTCCTCCTCCTCCTCCCCGTCCTGCCCCCTCTGGTGTGTCCCACGTCACCCCCCTCCCGTCGGTAGACCCGGTTGAAGAGTCTTCTGACTCAGGTGGCCCTGCTGCGCAGTCCTCGCCGGCCGCCCCTCCCCCGGCGTCCCCTCCCCAAACCCCTCCTCCACCGCCTCTGCCGCCGCTGCCGCCGTCGTGGTCGCTGTAGACCACAGACTCTCTGCTCCAGTGTCTGAGGAGTCGGTAGAGCCCAGCGGCCCCTACGCAGAGCTGGTGGGTTGCCTCATGTACCTGATGACTTGCACTCGCCCAGATCTCGCATACCCTCTCAGCATCCTGGCTCGCTTTGTGGCCACAGGCAGACACCGGCCGCAGCACTGGTCTGCCGCTAAGAGGGTTTTGCGTTATCTTGCTAGTACATCGGGCATGGGGTTAGTGCTAGGAGGACGCAGGCCAGTGGTCCTTACTGGACACACAGACGCTTCGTCGGCAGACGACGCCGAGACACTCAGGTCTACCCAGGGCTACTGCTTCAGCCTTGGCTCAGGTGCCGTCGCGTGGAGAGCTACCCGCTCCTCGTCTGTTGCCCAGTCCAGCTGTGAGGCTGAGATCTACGGTGGTGCCATGGCGGCACAGGAGCTCCGCTGGCTGACCTTCTTGCTCACTGACTTAGGTGAGCGGCCTAGCTCTGCCCCGGTCCTGTTCGCTGACAACAGGGCCATGATCCTCCTGTGTCAGGAGCCTCGACTCGAGGGCATAGCGAAGCATATTCAGCTGCGGTACTTCCTCCTGCGTGAGCTACAGCAGCGACGTCAGGCTCGCGTAGTACACTTGGCCTCAGGTGCCAACACAGCTGATATCTTTACGAAGGCGCTTGCGCCTAAAGTTCATCAGCGGCACTGTGTACAGCTTGGTCTAGTTCCTGTAGCCTCTCACTTGCTAGGGCCTTGACTTTGTACTGTCCTTTATATGTATACTCAGACTGGACTTGTGTCCTCTCCCAGTGGCTGGACTAGTAGTACCGCCCTGGTCTTATTCTCGCCTTGTCTGTACTCCTTCTGACTGGTCTCTTAGACCCTTGTCTCAGAGGTTGGACTAGTAGTGCCGCCCTGAGCTGCTTGTTTAGAACATTCCCCTTTGCAATCTAGGGGGTGTGTCAAACATGTGTATTTGTTATGTTTGCATAGACTATATAAGGTCATCTCTTAGAGGGTACAATACTTAGGTATATCTATCTGTACTCTCCCTCTATCCTATTATTCACTTCTCTCATTTTGATACAGTACTCTGTTACATCATGCATTCATGTGTACATCATCTCTGTGAGCAGCACTGAATTGCGAAAACCATTTGGAATAACTCGGAAGACACAGGTGCACACAGGAGAGAGAAGGGAGAAGGGAGAAGGGTTGTTCACAGGAGGTCGGCACATCAAACAGCCACACAGACCGCCCAACCCAAACTAGGCGAGAGTCGCAGCAGCCGGTGCTGCTGCTGCTGCAGACAGAACCAGCACCAAACCAAACCAAACCAAACCAAACCAAACCATGGTGTATACTACACGCTTTAGCATGATTGCACAGACACTCGCGCGGCAGCAGTCGGAGAGACCATACGCAAGCTCTTCAAGCCTTCAGCTCCCCCAGGATCCCCTTGCCAGCCTCGAACGCCTGGATTGGATTCTCCTCGTGCGGCAGCAGCGCCCCTTCCACCTCCAAGAACCCCTCTGGGGCGCCTCATATCATCCCCTTGACAGCCATCAAGCTTTCAGCTCCCCCAGAATCCCCTTGACAGCCTCGGACGTCTGGATCGGGTACTCCTCATGCGGCAGCAGCGCCCCTTCCACCTCCAAAAACCCCGCCACTCCCGGTGCCCCCTTTGCAGCCTGCATCTCTGCCTTGCTCCTCCTCGGGCTGCCCTTACTCGCCACCACGTACGCCTTCACCCCCGCGTCCTCCGCTCCTGCGAACAGCCCCACAAACTCCTCCCGGCTCTTGACACTGTCCAGCAGCCCGGAGACAAAAGACGCGGGCGCGAAGCGGGCGCCCGGGCGGCGGGTGATGCCGGTGCGCGCGTCGAGGAGGGAGGGGGTGACGTTGTCGGCGTCGGCGTACACGTGCGAGAGGTACTGCTGCCGCATGTTGCGCGGGGACGTCAGCGCGAAGCGGTACAGCGCCCACCCGAGGCCGGGGGAGCGAACCAGCGAGCGGAAGATGGCGTAACTGGGAGAGGGGGCGGAGGAGCGGGGGGAGGGAAGGGGGGAAAGGGGGGTGGGTGGGGGAGGGTGGAAAGGGGAGGGGGAAGGGGAGCAGGATCGGAAACCGAGGTTCACGTTGTATTTTGTAGGACAAAACAAGCAGAGAATGGTAGAGCGCCCATCTTCCGCGGGGGAAGCGGACGAGTATAAGCGGGGAAGGTGACGTAGGTGGGGGGTGGGGGGGGGGAAGGGGGGGCCGGGGAAGGCCTGCGGCCACAAACAACACAAGAGCAGAGCACCAGGCATAAAGCACACACTTCACTGTTTCGCTCACCGTGGTAGCATTGCATCTGCTCCGTGTGCCCGCACACTATCGACAGGGGGCCAGCGGCCAGTGGCCACCAGTGGCCAGCCCATGCGGCCAGCGGCCAGCCCATGCGGCCAGCGGCCAGCCCATGCGGCCAGCGGCCAGCCCATGCGGCAACCCTGAAACACAAGTGCATCAGCAGCCTATGCTCCGTGGCCTGTTGCTACAGCGCCTCAAAAACGGTCCTAGTAGTCCACTCACCGAGGTCGCATCTGCTCCGTATGCCCGAACACTATCGGCAGGGGGCCAGCCCACGTGGGCGCCACTGCCACCACCGCCTGGACGTCCACGCTCCCGCCCTTCCCTGCCGCCTTCAGCCGCCCGTCCGCTACGGCTTTAAGAGCTGCCACCGGGGCATGGCCCGCACCCACCAGCACCACCCGGCGGTTCGCACCTGAAGGTAGGGTGGAGGTGGGGGTGGGGAGGAGGGGAAACGACATGGTTTGCCGGGATGAGGCGTTCTGTGTTGACTTATGACACGTCCGCCACGGCTTTAAGTGCCGCCACCGGGGGGATGACCTGCACCCACCAGCACCACCCAGCGGTTGGCACCTGAGGGGGGGAAGGGGGGGGACGGGCGGGAGGTGGTGAGGGTTTGGTTGGGTAGTGAGTTGGTGTTGGGTTCATAGCAAGCTCATCCACCCACTGTCGCATGGCCCGATGGCCCGCACCCACCGGCGTTAGCAGCGCCACTCGGCGGTTGACACCAGAAAGGGAGGGGAGAAAGGGGCAGGGCAGGTGATGCCGTGCATGTGCCCTGCTTCTACCTGATACAAAGGACTGACTGCGAAAGGGGCAGGGCGAGTAGGGGCTTGCAGGGGTTTGCGGGAGTGAGGTGTTATGTTGTGCGATAAAGGGCAGGCTATACCTCCGGGAGAGGTGGGTGGGAATCCAGGAGAGGGGAGTTGTATGGGGCTTCTCTACAGTGAGAAATGATTTCCTCCCTCCTCCCACTCTCTCTTCCTACCCTCTTCCCCCCCCTCTCCTCTTCATCTCATCAGTCCCATTCACCTCCCTCTCACTCGTCTCACCAATGAAATTAACGAAGTCAACCACAAAATCCTCCATAATAGTCGCAGTGTACTCAAGCGCCGGCCGCTCCGACTCGCCAAACCCGGGCCAATCCAGAGTCGCCACCTGGCGTCCTCCCGCCGCTGAGCTGGGCGGCGGCAACGCTGCCACGTCGGACGCCACGTGGTCCCACTCGTCCACGGTGCTGACGTCGGAGAAGGTCGGCAGGAAGAGGACGAGCGACTCGGGGGGGTCCGAGCCGGAGGTAGGGTAGACGACGTAGTTAATCTCTATGCTGGGCTGCCCGTTGGCGCGCTGCCACGTCCACGACCGCTTTTCACGTGACTGGAAAGAAGAGAAGAAGAAAAGAAGAAAAGAAAAGAATGAGAAAAGAAGAGACGAGAAAGAGAAGGGAGAAGCGGCAAGAGAGAGGGGCGCCAGAACGATCCTCTTGAGTCACGAGACACGAGACCCACCGACGATTCACGATCAAGAGGCGGCTACCTTATTCGCGCCCTTTCCTTCCGACTGAGCGGCGGCTTCCGCAGCAACTGAAGCCGCCACTCGTACTAGATCCCGCCGACAAACGCGCTGCGGCTGAGGAGCCGCCGCCGCTGCCGCCGCTGCAATAAGCGCACCGGGCGCGTGGCTCCGCGATGACGACAGCGCGGAGGCTTGAGGAAGCCCGCGCGCGGAACGCGATGGCGGGCAGGCGCGCGCACATGCGCGGGGAGCATCCGCGGGCAACGCGCGGGATTGGGGGAGTACTCGTGCTGTGGAGTGAAGGGAGGTCGCGAAAGCGGTTGGGGTGTAAGCTAGCGCAGCCATTGGTGAAGGCTTGGTGAACAGGGAGGATGTGGGAAGGATAGCAACCCTCGCGTATTTTATGAGTAGAATCTGGGTGTGAGTGCTGCTAGGTTGAAGACGGGGCATATGTAGGAGGAATTCCAAGATTCTAGATGCTAGAGCTGGCAGAAGCGTCGCAGGAATTAAAGAACCATGGGAAATTATACGCTGGGTACCTCTTACTTTTCGTTTCCTTGATTTAGTCACTCTTTTCTCATGTCAGTCAATGTTTTATCGAGTCGAAATCAGCAGCGTCAAACTTTATGTTCAGTTTGATGCCGCATGGCAAAATCTTTCGACACGTGTCCAAAAATGACGAAATCCCAGAGAATAGGGAGACTATTTGGAGTGACAAAACAATAGAAAGTCTATATGTGAACAACATTCGATTTCACTCACATTCAAATTTCGCAGTAGATTATATTCGCAGAAACTGACTAGCCAAGTGTTGTCTTCTTGTAAACTAGACATATGTCTAGTGACAAACAGTTAGCAGACGACGCGCACACAAATTGCGCAACGGAACGTGTGCTAATTTACTGGCTGTTACGAAAATCCCCGAATGGAAAAACATATTTTTTCGCTGCAGAAATCTATCAAGCCATTCTTCAAGGTGTAAACTAGACATATGTCACTATTTATGACGTTTTTTTTTCGGATGCCCACAAAACTCGAACCCATCGGAGCCCGCATGCGACTCGAGGTGGCATCCATCATAAACTCGCGGCTCTGTGTGTCTATAGGGTTGATGCCACCCCAAGTCGAATTATCGGGCCGCTGCGGGTTATATTTTGTTTCAGGCTGCCCTAATTGACATGTCCGTATATATACTGGCTGCTTCGGGTTATATTTTATTTCAGGCTGCCCTAATCGACATGTCTGTATCTGAATAACGCGTCGCGGAGCTGTGCGCGAATGTAATCCGGGACAGAATCCTCTTCTAGCTATGAAGTTTTCTCTTCAAATTTTGGACATTAAGTATTTATCTCTCGATGTTTTTGAGACATCGTATTTCTTGGACACGTGTCGAAAGATTTCGCCATGCGGCATCAAACTGAACAAAAAGTTTGACGCTGCTGATTTCGACTCGATAAAACATTGACTGATATAAGAAAACAGTTACTAGATCGGGAAAATGAAGAGTAAGAGTTACCCAGATTATAATTTCCCAAGAACCATTTGTGAACGAAGACGCGGACGTCCCGAAATGTAGCGCCACAACACCGAGTTCTATATCTCGGAACCGTTCTGGGAATTTATTATACCGTACTGTTCCTCCCAGAAGCGTTAAGCTGGCTTGCGAGCAGCAATTTCAAGACGCCCTCGGGGTCGCGAAGACCATCAGGAGGGCGACATCTGCCCACAACACAACCCCCGAGTTCGCAGACCCAGAAGGTCGTAGAAGCAATAACAGCGTGACACGTAGCGAAGTGAAAGTTCCGCATGAGCTGCTCGACGGATTCACTTCGGCAAAGCAGAGTGCCTAGCCCGTTACATTACTCTATTAAGGCGTGTATAAAGTAGACGGGAGATGCTCGATAAACTATTTTGACGTCACTCGCGCAACGTCAAATTTGCTTATTCCGAGGGCTACACAAGCACATTGAACAGATGACGAAACAGGAAACACGCTGGGAACGTTTTTTAGGGTGCCGATCTCAAAGTATGAATGGTTGACTAGAATGGGAGAATACATGGGTATATAGCTAATGGGTTGTACTCTTTATGGCATGACCCTATGTAGTAGTCAACTAAACATACACGCATATGTTTGACACACCCCCTAGACTAGATCGGGGCAGTGCCTGGTGAGAGACAAGCAGCTCAAGGCGGCACTACTAGTCCAACCTCTGAGGCAGGGGTCTAAAGACCAGTCAAAAGAGTACAAACAAGGCAAGATCAAGACCAGGGCGGCACTGCTAGTGCAGCTACTAGGAGAAAGCCAAAAGGCCAGTCTTCATAATATATAAAGAGTTATACACAGTCAAGGTCCTAGCAAATGAGGTGTTACAGGCACGAGCCCGAGCTGTACGCAGTGCCGCTTATGATCTCTAGGCGCAAGCGCCTTCGTAAAGATATCAGCTGTATTGGCACCGGAGGCCAAGTGAACTACGCGGGCCTGGCGACGCTGGTGTAGCTCGCGCAAGAGAAAGTACCGCAGCTGGATGTGCTTCGCTCTGCCCTCGAGTCTGGGCTCCTGACACACGAGGATCATGGCCCTGTTGTCAGCGCACGGTTGCAGGGCAGAGCTAGGCCGCTCACCTAAGTCTGTGAGCAAGAAAGTCAGCCAACGGAGCTCTTGAGCCGCCATGGCACCGACGTAGATCTCAGCCTCACAGCTAGACTGGGCAACAGACGACGAGCGGTTGGACCTCCACGAGACAGCACCTGCACCAAGGCTAAAGGAGTAGCCCTGGGAGGACCTAAGAGTCTCGGCGTCGTCCGCCCAAGAAGCGTCTGTGTGCCCGGTAAGGACAATTGGCCTGCGTCCTCCTAGCACTAGCCCCATGCCCGATGTACTTGCTAGATAACGCAGAATCCTCTTAGCTGCAGACCAGTGCTGTGGTCGGTGTCTGCCGGAGGCCAGAAACTGGGCCAGGATGCTGAGAGGGTATGCGAGATCTGGACGAGTGCAAGTCATCCGGTACATGAGGCAACCCACCAGCTCTGCTTAAGGACCACAAGGCTCTATAGCCTCCTCCGAAACTCGAGCAGAGAGTCTGTGGTCTACTGGTACAGGGGTGGGCTGTGCGGAAGCGAACTGAAGGCCGAACCTCTGAAGGACCTGGCGCACCAAGTGTGACTGTGTGAGAGTGATGGTGCGCGCTGCTCTAACCCTGGAGATCTGCAAGCCAAGGTAGCGGCACAGCTCTCCTAGGTCAGTGCAGGTGTGTCTCCTCAGCAGCTTGGCCTTTACGGAGGCCAGTGCGTCTCTGACTGCAGTAGCAAAGACCAGATCATCTACGTAGAGTAAACAAGGATGTAGAACGGAGTCTGGCCGGAACGGACGAAGAGCAAGGGGTCCGCAGACGACGGGAAGAACTGCAGGTCAGCAATTGTAGCACGCAACGTGTCGTGCCACTCACGGGGCGCCTGGCGCAGGCCGTAGACAGAGCGCCGGAGGAGCCACTCGGTACCAGGGGGAAAGGTGCCTTGGGGGCGGCACAGGTAGACCTGCTCGTGTAGACTGCACTGGAGGAAAATTGTGGAGAAGTCGAGTGAGTGGAGCTCGTAGTCACGCTGTGCTGCTACATATAGCAGTACCCGAATAGTAGTCATCTTCGGGGTCGGGGCGAAGGTCTGAAAGAAGTCCACCCCCTCATGCTGACTGAAGCCACGAGCAACGTAACGCGCCTTGAAGACAGGCAGCTCTCCAGGGGGGCGCTTCACCTTGAAGAGCCATCGGTCATCGACTACGTTCACCCCAGGTGGGGGAACGGCGTCGACGAAGGTACTAGTGGATCTCCAAGATGCCATCTACTACTCCATGGCAGCTATCCAATGAGAGGCTCAAGGTACCGAGGTGGCCTAAGCATAGGTGCGAGTGGTCGGAATGTCAAGGGCGTCTGGGTCACCTTAAGGGACTAGCAACATGGAACAGAGATGGGGAGCGGCCTCTGACACGAAAGCAAGCACGTACTGTCTTTCCTCTCGGACGTCATTGCCAAGGGCAGCCACACCCCCGACGGACGGAGAGCAGGCATGGTCACAGACCAGAGGAGTGGCGTAGTCAAGGCGGCGGGTAGTGACGAATTCAGTGACAGCAGCAACAAGAGCTGACAGATTCGAGACAGGAACGGACGTGTCGGTAAGAAGAGAGGCAAGGACACGAGGAACAAGGGGACGTGTAGCACGGAGGAATTCAGAGAACGGAGGCGGGGCCACAGCGAGCGACAATGGAGGAGGAGACGGGAGGAGCGGAGGAGCACGAGACGCTTTGCAGCAAAGCAATATAGGGTGAGAACGCGGAACAGGGGAGGTAGGACGAGCACGAGACGGACGACGAGCCCAGACGTGAGACGGAGGAGTCGGGTCAGGAGAGAGGGGAGGAGACATGGGAGGAGAACGAGGAGGGAAACGAGCCGCAGAAGAGTCCATTGGAGGAAACACATGGCCTTAGACCGGCAGAGGAGGAGGCGGTGGCGACCATGGAGGCACCGGCAGGCGGTCAAGGGAAGGAAGGCCGAGTAGGTGAAGAGCGGACACCGTTGGCGACTGCGGCGGCTGCTGCCTGACGCCAACCCCAGAACCTCCAGCGGCACCACAGCTCCCTCTGAGAAGCTCCACGCCAGCACCCCCTGAATGGGAACCCGCTGCAGTACCTGCTCCGGCATGCTCCCCAGCACCACTAGAACGCAGAAACCCCAGCGGCGGTGACGACGGCGGCTGAGGCTGCAGCGCCGACGGCTGCTGCGGAGGCAGCTGCGGCTGCGACAGCACCGTCGACGACACGGGAGGAGAGACTGGGGCGGGGACAGGCGGTGGAAGGGACCCCGCCGAGCCTCGAGAGTTAGCAGACTCCTCGGCAGGGACAATCGACGGGAGGGGGGTGACGTGAAACACACCAGATGGGGCAGGGCGGGGAGGGACGGAGTAGGGGAGACAGGGGGAGGGGGAACCAGAAACAAGGGGGGGGGGTAACCGGGGGACCACGGTGGGGAAAGCGGTGGTAGAAGGAGATGGAATCATCAAAAGTGACGTCGCGGGAGTGAAAGACATGGTGAGACGGCGGGTAGTAGAAGTGCCGATCAGACGATTCGAGGGGGAAACATAGAATGACACAGGGGACAATGCAGGCAGTGAGCTTATCCGTGCCAGAGCCACGAACGTGAGCAAGGCAGCCCCAGACGTGGAACGCAGACGCGTCACCAGGAGACTCGGTCCAGAGTAAGGTCGACGAAACCTACAGCCGCTGAGGGTGCGGCCACAGGTTAAGCTGGTGGATGGCGTAGCAAAGGGCAAACGACCACAGAAAATGAGGTGCACCGTCATGGATCATGGAGGTGCGAGCCACCTTCATGACCAAACCGATGCATCGCTCAGCGACCCCATTATGCTGCGGAGAGCCCGTCAGGGTGCACGACAGGATGATGCCCTC